ATATATAATAGTTCATTATGAGAAATTGATGGCCGTTCTAAAGAGTTAGAAATTGTGATGACACCGTTTTTTATTTACAGTTTTTTAAAGCATCATTTCTTATTTTTTGATAATTTTGATTAGTTCATGAAATCTTCCATTATTTTTCACTCAATTGTAGATGGAATAATTAGCTTTATTTTCACTGTCAAATTCTAAGTTTTAATATCTTGAAATTTATTAATAACTGATGTGATTTGATTGTGTGACCATGAAATTCACTCATTTAATTAGAGTTTTAGTGGTTATGCTAGGAAAATATGTTAAACAAATTATTTTCCAGCTATTGGATTTAAGTGATCAGGTGGTGCGATTTAGATTATATGGTCCAAAATCACTTGAAATACTGCGTGAAGTCCTTGCTGTTGTCGAAGAAAATGAACTTGAAGATTCGAGGATGAAAGAATTCATGTTAGCCTTCACTATTCGTAGTAGATATTGAAAATGGAAAGTAACGTAAGATATTCTGTAGAATTTTATCCGATGTACACCTTCGAAACTCTGATTTCTTTGGTTCTTTTCGATGCGACTAATGAAAACTGACGAGAAAATTCTGGACAAGATGCTGGAGGACTGCTTGCATATGATTCCATTTTATTACTCAAAACGTTCGAAGTTAAGTTAATAAGAAGTTTCGATCAGAGTGGAAAATGCAGATTGCTGTCAGTTTCAGATCAAGTAACCAATGGTGGAGAAATGAATGCAATAAGCATAGTCCCGGTGAACTTCCCGATGGTTTTGTTTTCAGTTTGCTTGTGGAAGACCCTAGATTAAGTCGACCGTTGAGGAAGACAAAGCCGACTGAAACTAACAGATATTCAGCAAAATCGTTAAATGTAGGCAGTTTGCCATCTCCACTGAACGACTTTTGGAATTTTGAAATTCGAAGGAAGGTTTGAACTTAATGTTGACTTTTTATTCATCTTTTGAAAGTAAAACGTTATAATTGGATTAAAATATTTTTATCATTACAAAAACATAAGCAGTTATGAGTTAATGAGAATTGTTTTAAATCTGCCGCAAGATATTTTGTATGAATGTATGTTCAAGTATTATTCGGTGTGCAGGTTATTAGCGGATTAAATTATCAGGATTGCCACATTTTATTCCAGACTCTTGAGAAGAAACTGATTGAAATGGATTTGCAAAAAATGCGAAACACGCAGCTAAAGCCAGTGAAAACATCTGAAGCCAAGGTTTTATTTGCACATGTATAATTTCTTTCTCGAATTTTTTTGCTGTTTTGTTATGTTTGCTAAACAATTAGTATCTCTCGACATTTTATAGATTTTATTTCTCGACATTTTATTCTGAATTTAGATTTTATACGAACAGTTCGAGCGTAATTAATAAGGCGTATTATTTCACATTTTAGATAATACCACTCCGCCCTAGCTACTATTTAGATTATGAAACTAGAGGACAGCCATTCATAACTTTTTTTTATTTCTCCATTATTTCTGTATGCTTTTTGTCTCATATCATTTTGGTTCTTTGTTTTGTTGCAGATACCAATACTCTTAATAGTTCGAAATACGGGTATAGGAACAACAAGTCCATTCATTGGTTTAGATCTCATTATACCGTCAGGATTTGGTAAATTTAGTTCTCGTTTTTATGTTTTTCTTTTCACTTTCAATGCCTTTATAAATTTTTGAAATGCATTCAAATAACTTCTTGTATTTCTTGAAAGGCTTGGAATTTTGGCTTGCCCTGCAGTATGGTACTGCGAGGAGTGTTGGATTGAAGGATCAGAAATTCCTAGAACTGGAATCAGGCCATTTTAATTTTCCCGCTGATGTGCCAGATTGTGATGCTGGTCTTAACGAATTTAAAGAAGAGTACATTAATCTGCAGGTGATTCTCATAAAATATTTAAATAATAATTTCTTGTTGTTGGAAAAGGATTGCAGAAGCATTTATATTGTTGTTTAAATAATTATTCATCAAGTGAAGAAATTATTTAAGCATGTAGAAAAATTCGTTTTTTCAGCAATTTTTAATTTCATTTTTAATTTTTACAGTTCACATCTCTAGAGACATTTGATGTCCTATTTGCAATGTTTCTGGTATTATAGTTGCACCATATCGAGAACGACGGTGAACTGATTCATGCATTAATCTACTATATTAGGCGAATATTTCATTTTCAGGAAAAGTATATACGACGTCCACATAATCGTCGTATAAAGTATTGGAGTAGCTTATCGATCAAATATCCTTTCACATTTCACTTCTCTGAGTTGTCTCATGACTGGCTCGAGAATTCAAGCGTTAAGGGTGCTGCATATGTTATACGTGACCGTCGAACATTACTGAGTATTGAGAAATGGTTGGTCGGAAGGGGACCAATGCCAGAAGGTCCTTCTCTAATGATTTCTTTATTTAAATCTGCAAATCCAGCAATTTTAAAATTAATTCATTTGTTAAAAAAAAATTAATTCATTTGTATATTGGAAATGGGTTTGAGAAGAAAATCTCGAATAACTTATTCAATTATAAAGCAATCATCCACAGATAATTTCTATAATTTCAGAATCTGTCATGAATTCCACAGCATTAGTACCCGTATCTCTTATATCAACAACACTAGGTCGTCCACAACGATTTGCACTGATATGTGCACCAATCGATGAGGATTTTATAAATGTAGCAAAACTGTCGAAAGGCGAAAGTGCTACACAAATCACTGAACAACCGCGGAAAAGTACATCAAAATCAGTATTTAGTAATGAGGAAAATAAAGAGGGCCAAGGAAATAAGGTAAATAAAGATCTATTTATTGTCTTAAAAGGGAAAACTTGCTCTTAAATGATAAATTTCATAAGGTTATAAAGATGTCTTGTGCAGCTAAAGACATTTAAATTGTTATGAAAATATATTCATATTACATACTCCAGATCGAACTGGAGGATTTCGTTTCGTTGGATGTTACAGCAAATGAAAAGCACATATCGCTGAACTCACTTTTCCCGGACAAAGAAATGTTACGGTAGGCCTTGAGAAAAAAGAATCAGATGTCAAGTTTACTAACTTGAAATCTGACCTTTTTAGCCTTCGCATAACATTTTTGCTTTATTACATGTCAATTGCTCTTTACTTTTGTCTATCGTGACTCACTTCTTGTTGGACGGTTTTTCTACAAATTTATTTTTTAATTCTGGTCTTAAATTTTGCGCTGAAGTAGATGATGGACAATGATATCTTCGTAAGTGCGAGCGGTATTTACTGTAAATAATTATTTCATTATTGAAAATAAGACGACACAAAACAAAACAACTTCCTGAAATCAAATATTGAAATATTAAATATATATACAGAAAGCGAAAAATGAAGGAAAAGAAGAAGGAAAAACGAGAAAAAGCGAAAGCAGCTAAACGATTGAAAAGAAATGTGAAAAGTATTCCGCAGATGTCCAATTCTAAACAGCTAGGAAATGGTACAGAAAAACTGGAAGAGAAAGCACTCATAAAATACAGTAGCAGCTGCTCTAGGTAAAGAGTTGCAATATGAGGGCAGTAAATTCTAGTCGCTCACCGGTTAATATGTTTGGGACTATTATTACTTAATCTGAGTAGTCTTAAATTTCAGATTGTGTTTCTCAGCTTCTTCCATGTAGTTTTATATTATCCTTTATTCTGATTTTTTAGTGAAACGTGCAACATTGTCAATGAAGAATTTTTGTAGTGCGCTCGAGCATTTTTTTATTAGGACATTTTATTATTCGAAAAGGAATACGTAAAGAAATTGATAATTAAATGCAAATGAGTGCTCAATTTGCAGGCCTATCATTGGCAGAATCGTACGCGGTGATTATTCATTCGTACATGGAAGAGGCTTTGCTATCGGTTATTGTTGTTTACCAGCTTTGAAACAACTTTATCGTGGTGTTGTATTATTCCGGAATGTTACATCCAGACGCTATTATCCAGCTCGAATTACCCTTCTTAAAAATCAAGTGGACTTGTAATTTAATGCTTTGAAAAACTTACTGATTTGATTAAAAATTTGGTTTCCACAGCATTTATTTTACTATATTTGATTCTGACAGAAGAAAACTTTGAAATTTCATGTTTTTGAATTAGCGGGCCGTCGCGGCGAGAAAAAAAATTTAGTGACTTCTGGACTCGTTCCCGCGAACTGAGGTCTCAGAAGGTTATAACTTCTCATTGGCATTGTTCTTTTTATTTTTTTTTATCATCATGATTGATAAAAAAACATATTTGATAAACAAACATGCATTTGTGATGATAGTCGTATTAGTTCGTTATTTAAATCGGAGTCGGGTGATATGCGTATGCAGATGTGTGAGCTGGATATTGGGAAAGGCAAGACAGAAATGCAAATTGTGAATTTATGCGTAATTAGAGAGGTACTCGCAACAAATCATGAAATAATGGGATTGCGGAAGTAGGGTGATTCGTTTGTTTTGTATAACATCAATAACACATCATCTCGAGGGACGAGGGAATTTCATTCTGGGGTTTACCTACAGATCATCGATAGTTTGGTAATAGTCAAACTGTCTCTTTACATGGACGGTGGAACTGTTCTGTAGTGGTTGTTATTTGTTAGTGTCCAAGAATTGTCTAGCAGATTGCGAAGAATGGTGTTAATCTAGTGAGTGCTTACCAGTATATTTACATCTCTTCTTGAATTGGCTGTAAATAGCAACTGCAAAATAATTGAAATGTCAAACTGATTGGTACCAGTGTGCCTCGAAGCGGTTGGATGAGACTTCTTATCAACAGACGTAAAGATCTCGCTACTAAGCATCAATTTACAAAAAAAGAACCAGCTCACTAACCATTCCTACACATTAGCCCTTTCATTTCACTTCATCTTAGCCTATTGAATGGTCACAATGTTATAACAGCTTGTTTTGTCACCAATTTAAGCCTCACTTCCCAGCTTATTTCCAGCTATCGATCATTGAGGGACCGATCTTTGCTCACTTTAGACATAGTCGATGATAGACGTTCAATCTCATGCAGTAAGTGTCACTTAACTGGTGACATGGATTAAGTCATATTTTGTGGAAAACGATCCCAAATTTGTATATCATCAAAGATCATGTAATTGGTATTTCAGGTGATGAAATGGTTATCGGTGAAGTATCCGTGGAGTATACCACGTGTTGCTCTTTGTGTAATCATGCATGCTATATATGTTAATGGAAAATTGAAAGGTCGGATTTGCGCATACGGTGACATTGATCGCGACCTATATACTGATATTATTGTACAGGATCATGATCGATTGAAAACTTATTTTCAGGTCTAATTCGTTTTTCCGTTTGAACTTGAATTTTTTATTTACTTCTAACAATCGGGTAATATTTGTACCACTTTGTTTTACCACCCTTCCTTTCACTTTACTATACTTCACTTGCATTCACTCTTATATTTTATTTCATTATATTCCTTTTTACCCCGTTTTTAGCTAGGTCTAACTCTGCTCTGTTTTGTATTTTTGTTCTTATTTTTGTTGGTTTCCACTCACTTTTTTCGCATACTTTGCTTTAACAGACGTTGCCAATCGTTATTTACAAATGCAATCAATTGTTTTTTTAAAAATCACTTTTTTTGGAAGTGAATGCGTATAATCTTTCTCACCGTTATAGTTTTAATGAATACTTCTGTGTAACATCTTCCTTCACCTGCGTTATTATGATACTTATGAAACTCACTTGCAGAATGAAAATGGCGAATTTTTGGAAGCAGGACAAAATATTAACCTTGGGTCATCACAGACTGTTTCATGTGCAGTTGGAGATTTCAATGGTGATTCAGTGCCTGACATATTGGTTTCGAGAAAAATCGTTCGTTATAAATGTTAAATAGAGTTTAAAATATATACAATAAGTCATAAAATGCTAATGTGTGTCAATTCGGTCATTTGTTTCGTTCCAGTCATTCTTCCTATTAGCAGTTTTATAATTCCGATATTACTTAATGATTTCCAAAAATGAGAACTGTATAGTACTGTATAGGATTTATACATTTTTAGGTCTTATTTTGGATGTAAAAAGAAAAACTAATATCAAATTTTGGGAATGGTGCTGTGATCAGTACTTGATTACTTTTGAAATGTTTTAAAACTTTAGTTATACTGAACGATTGGAAATTTTCTCTTTTCAGCCTAGTGGCGAGAAAGGTTATGAATCGACCGTGTACATATTTTCATATAATGCCTATAAACCTGTTCTTCTGAATGCAACATTACTGGATGAGCTAGCTGTGATGGATGTTAACGGTGATGGTATTAGTGACGTTGTGGGATTTCTCAGTAGCAATGCCTTATTTTGTCAGCTGGGCTCAGCGATAGGGAGTTTTTCACCCTGTGAACATTTTTTCAAGTAAGTCATTTGATTGGTTTAAAAATCTCTACAAAAGTTTTGATTTCCTTTCGTGTGTCATATTTAACTTCGATATCTACTTTAGCATAGATATTGAGTGAAGACTCATAACTACATATGCTTCTGGAAAAAGTACAGGAGAAGTTTGTTCTAGTATTTTTCTGCACTATTTTTCGAATCAAGATTTGTTGCAGTACATCTGGTAATATATCGAATATTGTCCCATACGAACGCTTTTTGCATTCCTTTGTCGATATAAATGGTGATTTAAGTGCTGAAATAATATTTGGTACCAAAATGGGCAATCGTTTAAAGATGCAAGCATGGAGAAGAATATCAAAGTATAATTATTTCAAATTCAAAATATTAGTTAGCTTAATTTATTAAAACTTACAAAGAGCAGTAACCGACTTAATGTATCAGCAAAAAGTGACTTCATTCATTTGTAAAATTTTGGGTTTACTTTTAATCACCGTAATTAACAAATAGGTTTTTTTTTAATTCGAGGAAGATGGATTTTCACTTTTTTCTGCTTTCATTATCTCTCGTTACGTATTACGACAAAAAATAATAACTTTTGTCATAATTTCATAACCAGAAATAAGTATCTATGAGATGCATGAGTAACATATACACTGACATGTAGTAGTGTGGGACTTATTACAATAGCTCTTGCGAATCGCATTTTGGTAGACTTTGGATTCATCCCTTTTTTAACTTTTTCGAAGAATTCTTTTTGACGAAGAATTTTATAGCAAATAATTAAAGGATATTTACCTTGGATATTCTATAGTTTGTATTTCACTCTTTTTTTGAACATTTTTTTAAAATGTGTTTTGTTTAGTGAACTGTGGGAGTTAGATGAAGCGCTTATTGCTGATTTACCAGCCGATTCATGCCCTACCAGTTACTTTGGTGCTGTATTATTTGCCGATTTTGATGCCGATGGAATTGTTGATATAGGTTTGCCATGTTGTGCTGATGCAACATGTCGAAAAGTAGTAGTAATCAATATGTGGAATCATTATATCGGAGCATGGCAAGATTTCCATATTACTGGTCTTGAGGTAAATGGAACGCTTTTTTGTCATTTTATTCGATGTGTTTTCCATGAAGATCTTGACATTTCTAGAGGAATTTTGTATTTATTTTAAAATCTCTTCTTGGGAATGTCACTTTTTCCTGCAGCTTCAAAAAAATTGCGTCAGCTGAATTGTGTCAAAAAAATAATGAATTGAGGCAATCTTAAATCGAAATCATTTTTTTCTTTTTTTGGATGGTCAAATTGCCATACGTGAAAAAAAGTATTTTTGATATCTTGAGTTTTTTTATCTCTGAATTCTCTAACATTCTTCCAAGACGTAAATATGAATGCGAGAAAAATTTTATATTAAGTAAAAATCATCGCACAGAAAGTGAAGGACGTATGTTTCCAGGGTTCTGATCTAGTATCCAAAAAAGATGAAGGGAATGTTGTTTTTCGTGTCGGAGATTTTTCGCTGGATGGGTATCCTGATTTAATAGCACTTGTTCGAGAAAAAACGCAAAACCCAATGATTCTGGAAAATGTGCCATGCACTGATTGTATTTCGAATGCTTCTAGGTACATTTTTCAAGTTTTGTTTCTTAGTGCAGCTTCATAAAATTCCATGATGATTATGTTTTCATCCATCATAGAGATGCGCATTCTCTACAGAAGGACTGCCAATACTCTGGCGATGAGGAAAATGTTGTAAGATATGCAATCTTGGTGCGTGATGTCGTTTATTTCAGAAGATTTGAATTACGGACGAGTCCCAGGCTTATTCAGCCTGCTGATGTTTCCTTGGGTCAAATTCAGTTGGCGTCATTTTTTGATTTGAAAGAGGATGGTACTCTCGATGTATTGCTTGAATACAAGGATGTTGATCAGAGTATGGCTATTGACTTCATAAAATGTGAAGATAAAGGTGATACAACATTCCTGAAAGTGCAAGTATTTTCAAGTTCATGCGATCAGTTTTGTGGTTCGAAAACAAAAATTGGTACTTCATCTTTTCAATATTTACTTTTCCATTAACTCAGTAGTAACTCTAATCCAAAGGTCTCTCAAAAGCAGATATGGTAAATTAGCTTTACTTTGTTTATTTCGATTTATAGAATTGTATCCTTATCGAATTCCAGAAAAACTATCGTATATGTAGTTGTTTTCATCTTGAACTTTCTTTTTTTCTGGAACTGGAATTGCTTGGCATGGTGCTTGCGTCATGTTCAGTATGTCCGACTCATGGGGTCACGATCAGGTCGGCTCACAATGTCAGATGCCTCAGACAACACATCGAGCACTTCATACACCATTTGCTCTCTTTGGTTTGGGAAGGTCACCAAATTTTGTTGATTATGGTAAATTTATTCATTAGAATTTTTGAATCCACTTTATTAGAGATTGAAACTATGTTCTCGGAGACAAAACAATATATTAAATGGTAATTGCAATTGTGAACGGAATTTCACCGCTTATCAGAAATCTTGATGACTTGAAGTTCTACTTCTAATGATTTTTTTATTTTTTACGCAGTTAAACGATAACTGGCATTGCCGCTGGCAGTTTCCATGTCCGAAACTATTGAATAAGTTCACTTTTTTAATATTAATATGAAAATGATGCGACATTTTGCAGTGCATATTGGCTCTCCACGTGTGCCATTGGCGGGTGGTCTATATTACGGAAACCAACATTATTATTTGAAACAAATTGTGCCGAATTCAAGACTAATTGTTGTTCCACCTAAAGGTGATGGAGTTCATTGGCAGAGCAGACTTTACCTTACTCCTAGCCAGGTTTGTATTTCTAATAAAAAAACATGTTAATAGCTTGGTGGTGCACAATTACAGAAAAGTTTTGGTATGGATTAGTTTTAACTGTAGAAATTTGCCCCGAAAAATCTCAAATTAGTTTCTGAATTTTCCTGAATAAAATTTTTTTTATTGCTCAATATTAAACTTTTGAGTTTCTATGCATTAAAGAAAACCTATGCTTATATTCCTTTTTTTTAATAAATGTGTCACTTTGAGCGATACACAGTACAATGGCCACCGATACACTGCTTCACTAGAAAGATAAAATTCATTGTTCTTTTCTTCTCAGTTATAAGAACAATTTTTTTTTAATGACGGAAAACTGTAGTTGTAACTGAGAATGAAAAAACGATGAATTTTTCCAGTAAAGTAAACTCTCCTGTTTAATTATGTTGTGTACCTCTAAAAGTGACACACTTATTGCAAAAAAATGATTGAGGAAAAGAAATTCTAAAATAGATTTTGCTTTCTAACACATTTACTATATGAGCTACTCGAAAAAGATAAAGTTAAATAAAAGGAATATTCATTTGTCATTATGCATTGGTTTCAAATGTTCATTAATCAAATGCTGTTCTTTTTCCCCGTCCTTCCCTATCACTTTCCTATTTCGCTAAAATGAATGAAATTGCAGAAGTTAAATAATTTTGTATTTTCAGCTGATAAAGCAGTCGTTGATGGTATTAATATCAATTTGTATGATACTTTTATTGGTGGTAGTATTTTTGCATTATCGTGAAAGGCGTGCTGATAAACACGAACGACAGGCTCAATCACATCGATTCCATTTTGATGCTATGTAGTTTTAAATGACATAAATTGTGAGAGAACTTTCATAGGTCTTTTCCACCAGCCAAAACTTAATTGTGTGTTCTAAAAGGATATGGATAGCAGACTGAATCTTTCATGGCAATGGTAGAATAATATATGGCTATCTGGTAATTCTTAAAACTTTTTTCCACAAATTCTTATTATCCTTGTATCGTGCGTCTTCTATCATCATTGCTTGCATTGAATAATCGGACCGTTGAGATATTAATGTGATAATAGAAGATAACTCACCAATACTATGGTTAGGTCTGATTATGCTCATATTCGTTTAAAATATTTTGTGTTTAGAAATTTGCCGCAACTTTCAAGAGTTGTATTCCGAGCTTGTATACTAAAAGACGCTTCCATGTAATGCCCTAATTTAGCGTCTTTATTATACTCTATTATCAATGATAACGTTATATATCTGTAAATTGAAAAGTTAATTTTGCTTAGTTCTTGTGGCCGAAACTATGATCTTTCAAGCTCAACCCATCGAAATAATATTTCGTATTTTTCAACCGTACGAGCTGTAAATCGTAAAAAAACTGCTTTTGACCAAGAAAAAGAATTTTACTATTTACGAATCATTCTTCGATTGTTGCGTTTTGGACTATGATTTGTTATATTGCTTTGGTTTCATCTCGTTAATTGCATCTTCTTGGTTTTGCAACTGCTTTTATGTGCTTTATTATGGTAACAAAGGAAAGCTTTAATAATTTTTGGCCATTTTATTTTTCATGTCACTAAATGGTGAAGAGGATCAGTCGTTATGAGAGAGAAAAGAGTTTTATATGTAATTCCATAATCTGCTAACACGCTGTGCGGTACAAACTGAAATAAAATGAATGATCAGATAATCTGGCGTTACAGTGTGATATTGACGAACACCGATTAATGTGTAATACGAGCAGTTTGAAATGTATCAGGGTAGTAGGGATGTTTTGCGCCACAAATATTCAGAGAATGGAATGAATTTTAAAAGATTGAAATGATAAATAGTAGCCTGTGGGATTCGATTACATTCATCTTTCTGTTAATTTCGTCGAGCGGCGTTTTTCATTCTTTTCTGTTCTAATTTCGCGCAGTTTTTAAAATTTTTCATAAAAATTCATTTGTGCATTCATAAATGACAGCGAACGGTTATTTTAATTATTCCTTGCTTCTGTAAGTTGGGGCATTCATACCTGTCGATTTAATTGGTAGCAATGAATTCATCATGTTAATCTTATTGATTTTTAGCTTACTACTCATGTTTTCATAGTGTTTTCCGATTTTAAAAATATAAATTAAGCCTTTGCAGCACTGAAATTGCGTAGGAGTTCTTGATTAGTAGCACTTCGAACAATGCATACTCTATATCATTTATTCATTTAATTGATCCAAAATGATTCGTCAATAATCACTGATAATGCAAGGCATTCAATGATCTTGTTAAAATAACGATTAATGATTTAATGAATTTATGTTCGTTTCGTGTCATGCTGATATGCGTTGAGTACCTTTTTATAGGAAGGATATGTTACAGATATGGTAGATATCATCGGTAGCTGTGTGATTGGTTCGCAGAATTTATGCATTAATAATTTTTCATCTCTACCATGTGGACATACATTTCACTATAAGTGTGTCATGCGATGGCTTCTTGTAAGATTTTTTTTAATGAACTTTTTTTACGTATTAGGGCCAACAATCCGTGAAAAAAAAATCAATTGCTGACTTTGAAGAACGATGGGACGATAGCGACTCTGGGAATTTTGTACTGATCCAGAAAAACGTCTGCTTTTCTGCTTTCTTTCCTCCAGCACATTTTGTCGATTCTCGGCAGTTTGAGCAGTTAGTAGTCAAATAATGCTGTTAAACGATTGGCATTTTAAACTTGCCCTAAATGGTCGACATTCGACCATTTCTATTATTCACTTAAGCTACATCAGGTATGGATTTTGCGATGTCTCAAGCATTTCTGAATTCTGATGTTCAAAGCAAATATTTTATTTTGTTAATTTTTTGGGAAAATTAATCAAGAAAAAAGAGTTTAATAAAGAACAATAAATCGACTTTGAGATTGCAGTACTCCGAACAGTGTCCTACTTGTCGTGCACACACATCAGCAAGGAATATCGTGAAACGTTTATACTTCGCTAACTGTGATGATAAAGCTATGAATGGTGTTGGAACTTCAGGAATTGCTGCTGTTACGGATTATAATAATAAATCTGCTTCGACAGCAAATGTATCTATGTTGTAAATCCATGTTTTACTATACTATTTGAAGTTAGGATATTTTCATGATGACTTTAATGTGATTAGAATCAAGGATATAAGAGGTCTGGTAATCCAGAATCTTTCATCTTCGATTTGTGATACAATTCAGTGACCTTGGCTAGTATATGAGCCATTGGACAAGCTGGTAAATTTTCGTTTGTATTTAATTGCTTAGCACGGAGTCTTTTTGATTTGTTTCTGTATTGTGAATACAATCATTCTCAGCTGTACTGCGAAAACACTACAAAAGATGTTGGAAAGAGATTTTTATTGAAAGGTTCTGCTGGAGACTGCGTTACATCGGGTTTTGAGTTGGTCAATTTTTGATTAGGAAGGTGCTTTCCTGCTGACAAAGAATTTGTCTTTTGCTTAGGGAAATGCTCTGTCACCACGGGCATCCGAAAATATAGATGAATGATAGTGCCTGCCATGGTAATGCTGAAAGTTATAACAATAATAGTGGTTACGACAGTGACTCTGAAGGTGTGATTTGTGATTAATTTTATAAAAATGTGACAGAAATTGTTAAGATTCAAAAACCGCAAAAATAATTTATGAATGACGTTAAAAGGAAAAATTAATCATATGAATCTGTTTTAGATGGAGTGAACAGAACTGATGATGATTTCACAGATAGTAATAGTGCAAATATGGAAAATAATGATTCTATAACAGAATCGGAAGAGGAAAATGAAGAAGAGCTGAAATATCAAGAGACAGTTAGTGATGCTGGTATATTATTCATTTCACTTTTATATATTTAGAGTTCTATTCACTCTGTATTAAACTTTAACCAATAGTTTTATCTCAGATTGGTCGGTTCTGACTTATCAAAATTTCGTAACTGTATTAAGCTATTCAAAATTGCAGGTTTTTCGAATCTAATTACCTAGCACCTCATTTTTTAGATCATTTTGCTTCTCATTTGGTGCAATATGTAATGGATATTCTGAAGTTTGTAGAAACGTATTATTGCCAAAGTAGTATCGCTTGCTTCTCGTTATAAGATAATCTTGTGGGAATATATTTTAATTTACTTACTAAAAGACGTATCTTTAGATATGGTGAGCGTATTAGATGTATCAGGTAGTGTGACATCATCTGATTCACTTGAAACATTTTCCGAATCATTCAGCGAAATTGATGATGCAGCGAGTGTCTCTTCCGTGGACCATGACAACATGGAAATATCTGAGTTGTTAGACGATCATGGAGAAGTCAGTAATGATGATGATAACATATATACTTCACTCTTGTTAATTGAACATATTGGTAGTGATAGCAGTGATGATGATGATAGTTGTAGCAGTGGTGATAGCGATGATAATAACGATGATTGTGATCTTACACAACTATGATCATTTTTTACATCATTTCCTTCTCATTTGGGGGTGTCTAATCAATTTATTTTACCATACATTATGTATGATGATGTTAAATTTCAAATTTTATATAATTAGCAGTAGTAAGAGCCTCAATTCTGTTCATTTTGCTGTAATACTCATCATGGTGAGTCCAAATGAAATACAATGAATTAATTATTCTTGCATTTATATATATATATATATCATATCATTTTTTTGTTTCCTTTAGTTAGTGTTACAAAAATTGTTGCTGTGATGACAATTCTAGGTAATGTTTCTCTCTTTCTATCAGCAGTTTTGTTTACTTGTTGTTTGCATGTTTTACTTAACCATTAGTATACCCTATGTATTATATACTTTCGTTTGGAAAGTAGTTTTTTTCTTTGTATGCATTTGTTTGTCAAATTTCAAAAAAAAAATTTGCTTTTAGACTGCTAAGTTACGCTTACATGAATCTCAATAAAGTTAAGGTCATCGTACTAAAAGTTCTATGACAATTACAAATAAATGGTTAATGTTGGAAATAATTCAAGTACGTTTTGTGATTACTATCCTCTGCTAAGAGGATGATGTATTCATGCTTGTCCTGTCCTATCTGCTCTTTACGCTTTTAGAATGATTCATTTTAGTATTCTACTTCAACATCTTATTTAACTTGCAGATCTCATATGCGATGTTACTCATAGCTTCTAATCTGCAATGAATATTGTTCCTGTATATGGCGCTGTAACTAAAAGTATGAAACATTGTCTCAATTTCAGATAGTGGAAATCTCGTCCATATTCAAAAGACTGTTAGGGATGAATTAATTAATGCCGTATTTGCAAAACTGTGGTTTTTAATGGTAATTTACAATTAATTCACCAGCTTGTGAGCTTAATTTTGATATTTTCAAAATTTTAAATTTTATTGGAGAAATAAAGAGAAGTCGACAGTATCAAACAATTATTATCGTTAGGAGCAAATGATAGCAAATATATTCGATGATTAAAATTTGCGATATTGATGCTGATTAGAATATATTATCATATAGGAATATAAGGATTGAGTAAAACAGAATAAGATAGAGCAAAATAAAATATGATGGAGCTGAATCTGACATGGAAAAGGTTAAGGATCAAATATCTAATAGTATGAGAGATTAAGGCTCTTCTATCGACGATTGCATCGTTTCTCAACCTGCTACGCCTTCTTGTTGCTGCTGAAAATTTTCACTTTCTTCATTCTTTACTTATTTGCTTAATTACATGTAAATTCTTTTAATTCACTTTTAGTTCTACCATTAGCACCTATTTTATTATTTGTTGAATTCTTGATTTGCTTCAATTTTTCAAATCGCAAACTAAAATAGAAAGTCAAAAAAGCAATCGGAGTAATTCTTCTTCAAATGCTTTTTGGTTGGGTTGATGTGCCTTCCATTAGCAACTTCATATTGGAAGATTTTGATTAGCCTATTGATTTCAAAAGCAACATCTAATAATCTGCAATCGTTTCTTATTCTTCAAAAAAATACTTTCTGTAAAGTAAAATGATTCTTTTCTTTTAGTTAGCCTATCCAAGGAAAGATTTGAGAAGGAATTTGGCCATTAGTTTCTTTCTTGACAAATTCCTCACATATATGGTACAAGTTCAAGTAATAAAAATTGAAATGCTGCTTGCCATAAATGTCTTCAAAGTTTCTTAATATCGTCGTTATAAAATATCATTGATTTAAATCATCCTAAAATTTATGCTAATCTTGGAGCTATTAAATACATCTTCTGCCTTCTGGATATCTTATGCTATGACACATTTTTTTCAAATTCACAAAGTTCGGAAATTTAGGGATATATTAAAACTAACCGATTAATGATACAATTATTATTATTATTATTGCTTCTAAAATTAAATGATCATAAGATGTTTGAACAGATTCTAAAAAGAATATATCCTCTTAATGTTTAACAATATAGGGGACATTTTAAAGGGGTTCTTTGCAGTTGCTCTGATATTTAGCAGAATCCTGTTGTAGTGTACCAATCAATCCCTATTATCACCATAATCATTATTACCTTATCCTATTTATCGCTTTATTTGTTATATGAATAGTATCATCTCTGTCATCTTTGATAATGATATCGATGATTACAAAAGATGAGAATGTCTCGCAAAGAATATGTCATTAAATTATCAACTAAAAATGGTTATGAAGAACATTATATTGGACTGGTCAGATTTACGTACGTGAAGTACTTTAGAAGAATATAGAAAGAATATAAAAAGTGGAAAATCCGTATCGATTTTTAATTTGATTATTGTAAACATCACAATTATTTGCATTGTACAAATACTGTTATTTCCCGTGGGTAAAATTTCAGCATGATTGGTATGTACATAAGCAAGAAGATTGCTCATATCGAGATTTCCTGTAAGTCGGAAATGAATTTGCATAGTTTTTCTTCTATTTAATGACCCTGTTGAGGTAATTGCTTTACTTTTATTTCCCTAAATGTTTTATTTATTTCAAGGTGTGCATAAAGGGGGGGAAGCGATCCGACGAGTTCCTCAGTGAGTTCCTCAGTGAAAGGTTAACATTCAATCGGGAAATATCATGCCAATGGAATAAATCATTTTTTGCTCGTTTATTCATTCGTCCATTCGTTCATCTATCTATTCATCCATAAAGCAATTATTTCGACCGATTTAATCACCTACAAATGGTTCTTTTTTTTGAAATGATCGAAATATCCGAAAAAGCTACTTAAAAATTGATGTCATTTCGCTTTTTTCCATATATTATTACTGAACGATCCGTTCAAAATTATCGCTCTGATGTAAATTTCAAATTGAATGTGACTTCTCAGAATTTTGAACAATTAATAAAAAAAAATGGAAGTGAAAGACAAAGAATACGATGGAATCTCTTCTCTTTCTGAGATCAAATTACAATCTTTTTCAACAATATTCAATGTGCTATATATGTGAGAGTACATCATTCTCAGTAATTTTTTTTTTGACACTTTGATTATTAATATTAATATTAATATTAACCAGGTAGGAAACAGGTGAAATTTCTGTTGAAACAGAAATTGATGGTAAAAATTTTTCAACGATTTGTATTATTTTGGATTTTAATGTTTAAGTAAAAAAATATTTTAGTGTTAGGATGAATTTTTTAGTAGAAAAAAAGAGAACTTCCCTTTCAACAACTGTGATTGTATTCTCAGTTCCTGAAATGATTTGTAAATTAAGAACCATTTTTTCTTCCGACCCAAAATACTAGTTTGTACCGCTGTTTTCTGATTCATTTTCAATGACATTTCATGAATTGCATACCACTGAGGAACTCGTCGGATCGCTTCCACCCCACTGATGTTCATTTCAATATTTTACAACAAAAAATTATACCTATAAGTAAAATTTTTTTCAAAAAAAAAACTTCAATTGAACTTTTCTCTGTTTTATATTATGCCAAATTTCAAAATCGATCTTCCTTTCAGCAATTCTCAATTTGCACCTTCAAATTAGCCAAATTTTTAATCTATAAAAGTAATTTAAATATTAAAATTTGCTCCAGAAATTCTTTCTATTATGTCATTGTTATATTTCCACTAGAATGCCTATGCATTCAGAATGAAGACGATACAAATTCTCATTCTAACTAATATAAATTCATTTCCCTGAGGGATATCTGTATTCGACGTCTTCTGAAACGTGAAGTTATACCTAATTACAGGGCGATATGCACTCATTTCTAAAGATAACAACACAAATGAAAAGATTATCGGCAAATTTCCATTGAGTCCATGAAATTTTGATGTATTTTAATCGAAATTGATGGTACGTAAAGATATATAGGACACTGTTGGGTAATTCTTTTTACAAAAGAACAACGAAACATCTTTCCTAAGCAATGACAATATTAATTTAATCCCATTATAACTACCTTTCTATATTTGGACGAATTCTATTAGCTGTATTTTATACGTGAGGTCACGTGATTTGGATTCAAGATTTAACACTGCACTTTTGGTACTTCGTCTTAATTTAAGATTCAGATGGAGTAAGCATTTTTCATTTCTACTTGTGCATCTATTTCTATTATCATTGTCTGTAATCAATTTCACTCATACTTCAAGTCTTGATTGAATTAATTTATAATTCCCTTAGTATACAATATAAACAATTTTTGAACCGTTTGAGTTTAAACTTTCGCATGATTCTAACAGGTAATCCAATCATAACTTTTTATTATTTATTCGGCATTACTTGATATAATTTTTCCTTAGTGTTTTGCAGAATATTCGAAAGTTCATGGTAAAAGAAAATTAATGTAGTGCGTTTAAAAGCATTCATTTCAAGAGTTGCATGAAATCATAAATACTTATTAGAGGTGATATTTGATTTTTTTGAAAAACTCTGCATTTTCACTCTACCACAAATGACTTCGATTAAAATCAATTAATAAATGAGAAATGCGAACAAACTTTCCAGGCGTATGTATGATCGTGTTAATCGACAAATCGCTATCACAATCGCTAAATATCCGCGCCATTTGCTTCTCGCAACACTTTTATTCTCAGCATTTCTATCATCGGCGTTATTTAATTCAACTTTAGAGTATGATATACGACGCAGCTTCTCACCACCTAAATCAAGAGCAACTAGGTTGCTGTTATTTTATCAACTCTTACCTTTATTATTGAATTCACTATTAGTGATATTATTATTATCATGCAGACAATTCTTCTCCTCAGTTGACTTCTAGGACATTTTTATTGTTGATAAATTGTTGAAGTAGAATGATTGAAGAGAATTTTCTCGTGCCTCCTCTCAATCACAAGTTTTTTAAATGAAATATTTAAACAAAATGAAGAAAACGAAAATGTGGGAGGGTAGTGACTTAGAGGTTTGATTTTAAAAGTAAAAAATTGTTCTTAATTTCTGCCAAATGTTAGTTGCTGAATCTTTTCACCTAATTTATGATTTATTCCATCTGATAATTTGCAGTACTTATTAACATAGGACTCGGTGAAAACAAAAACCGTTAATTTTTTAAATAATTAAAGCAAATTTTTCAGCAGCAAATTGATTGATGCAAAAACAAAGATAGAAAATAAATAATAAGTGTTGCTTCAGTGTAAAATTAAAATTTACATATAGAAAAAATATTTTCCGTAGAAAACTATCGCTGAAAGTTTTTATATGACTAAACAGTAGTGTACTTTTTTGCATGCCAATATAAATTTTCAACATTCAAACAAGTTGCTTCTTTCAAATCATAACCTCTTGCAGAAATTTAAATGAAAATTTTTTTATAAAATAACAGCACTGAGAATAATGAATATAAAATGATATTGAAAATTTTCGCTTTCATAGGGTTATAAGTACGAATAATCCGAGCTGTCACATATTCTGGAAATTTTTCACGAAATATTTTAAGAATTGTTGCAAAAATTTTTAAAATCAATGCTATTTTATTTAATGAAAATTAATTCATTCCTTCAAAGAATTTTGAGAATAATTTGAAAAACTTCATTATGTACTACTGTATGATAATTTTTTGATTTTTGATAAGTCTAAAAGCGAATTTTGTTATCATTCTATCTTATATTAATAATCATTTATTAATTATCATCCATTAAAAAGAAATTTTTACAGAGAAGAAGAAATATATAAGCAATTTTATGAAATTGGTAGCGTTCCGCAAAGAACTTTTATGATATTTTATGCAAAAGATGGTGGAACTATGTTACGTAAAAATCATATTGAGGAAATGTATCAAATTAATCGAATAATGACTGATGTATTGAATAGTACTGAATATTCCCATCTACCAATCTGTCATCCATTTTGTAACATAAATGCGCCATTTGACCTTTTCTGGGTAATACTTTTTTATTTTACAAATGATGAAAAAATTCCATTGTATAAAATTACAATTTACTTAACGAAGCTATTTAATCACAATTTTAACATCCCCACTGATGAAATGTTAATTTTCAACTGATAAAAGTGTGATAAACAAAACATAAATTAATAAATTAAATCAAAGAAGATAAATATGTTATTTGTTTTTTGCATTTTAATAGTTAAAATGCATAGTAAACTAAGATTGCATAAAAATAAGCCTTAAAAATTAATTTTCTTTCTTGGCTATTTTAAATGATTTTCCAAAGAGAAAAAATTATAATATTATTATAATGAAAGGAATTTCAGAATGAATTCATGAAACATGACAGTAATACTACTACTGATTATGACGAAGATGCTATATTTGCCTTTCCGACATCAATAATATTTGGACAGGAATTGTTTCTTCGATCAAATTTGTTCGGTGTACAAACTTCCGGCAGTGTTTCCAAGTTTTCTAACTGATTGAATAAAATTTCTTTCCTGACGTCTCTTTACATTTTATCATTAATATTTCTGCTACTATTACCTTTTTTTGTTCTATCCTTTATATTTCTTATTAATAAAATTGCTAAGGAAAAAGTTTTATTCTACAAATAAAAAACTTTCTTATCGTTTCCAGATCATATATTCCCGAATCGATCTACGATAATAAAAGTAGGAACTATTATGTTTTGGCACTTGGCCGATGCTGATAATAAACGTAAACTTAAGATCCTTCGAAATGTAACAGTTACATTATTTGAAATGTCCAGAAAGCGAGATGCCACTAAATGGATTAATTTTAATATTTTTGGTGATGAAATTGCAAACAATGAAATGATCCGAGGCGCTTATCAAGTAAAAACTTGTAATGTAGATATTTTCTTCCTAAAAACGGTTCTTATGCATAAAATAATAATGTAAATCGGTTAAGTTAAATGTTAGAAATTTTCCTTAAAAATTTTATTTTGCGTTTAAATTACTTTAATTATTACTTTTCTTAATTGCTTGATAGAAATTTTTGAAATTTCCCTCATTCTCTGATGAAATTCCGATATTTTTTTTACTATTTAAAGCTTTTTTTGTTGCAATTGAAAATATCATTTGACTAAAATAGAAACTTATAGGCGACGAAATTGATGACAATTGGATTCCTTTTCCTCATATGTTTCGTATTTCTTATTGTGTGGCGTAAAATGGAACTACGTCTTCTTCCTCCCATTGTTTTTGCTACTATATTTTCACCACTTCTGGCTGCCACCTCATCCTTTGGTATTATTTCCTGGCTACGATTACCCATTTATTCTATGATGTGTGTCACACCATTTCTGATTCTTGGAATTGGTATGTTTGTTTCTATCTATCAGTTTTGACTAAAAAAAAATTTATTTTTCGGGATGAGAAGTCTTTAAAGTTCTCGAAAGTCTGGAAAATTTGGCAGAATAAACAACCGAGCTATATTTCATAATACGTTGATTTTTGACGTAGCATTACTCTTCTAAAATATTTTCTGAAATGAAAATAAATTCAAAAATTTTTTGTGCATCATTAACATTTACTATTCCATAGTTCTTAATTTTAATTCCTAAGACAATTTTTTAACTCTGATCGGATTTTTCTTCTCATAACCTCAGATGTCGACTGGCACCATTCAGGAGTAAAGAGTGTATACAAGTATATTGGAAGTTTATCAGGCGCTCAGTGATTACATTTAGAAACAACAAAATTTCTAAATACGCGAAGAGCATACAAAGAAAGAATCACTTCATGATGTAAGCATAGAAATGATCAGAGTGCAATATGATATGAGTGCAAGAGATGTAGGAATTTTATTTGTCCAATTAAATTTGAAGTAAATTGTAGGAGTGGATGATGCATTTATTATGATCCAAACGTGGACTCGTCTAAAGTTCATAAAATCTCGAGAAGAGAGATTGGCACAAGTTTTAGTGGAAATAGGACCATCAATTAGCATCACATCTATAACCAATCTGATTGCTTTTGGTATTGGTTACTTAACGCCAACACCACAGGTAAGTTTTCCCTCTTCGAATATTCTCAATATTCAATATTTCATCCCTCTTACTTGCCCTCTTCCTATTCTCATGTCCATTTATTCATCAGAAATACGGCTACAGAAATTTTGTTATCATAAGGAGCTTATCATCATTCTTCATTCTTAATTGTTAATGACTTAATGAGAGAACAAAATTCCATACGTGCAGTTGCTTCATCATTTTCACATTAGCAAAAATCAGCTCTTTTCCAACTTTTCACTTCAATATTAAGTTGAATGTTGAAGGTGTGATATGCAAACAACTTGTATTATTAAATGTTCAGATGAGCCTATTCTGTTTGTGCACATCATTCGCTTGTTTATTTGATTATATTTTCACATTTACACTCTTGACACCAATTCTTTATTTGGCTAATAAATCAGAGAATGTCTATATAATGGCTGAAAAAGTGCCAAAAAATAAGGTAAGACATTTGAAAATATGGAAAGGAAATTTTTATCTTTTCTTTCATCTCTTTCTTGCGTTTTCAATCCAATTGATAATAATCAAATTTCAGATGAGTTACTACTGATTATTTATTAAATTTTGAGATCGAATTGAAAAATTCGCTGAACATTTGATAACTTCGATGAATTAATTGCAGCTTGGCGAATATTGCCTGACAAATTATAGCAAATTGATATGTTCGTGGAGAGGTCGAATTATTGCAGTATTCGTACTGGCGGTATTATACTTCATGGCATCAGTAGGAGTTATGAAAATGAAATCAACTTTTGAACCTGTAAAAGCATTTCCATCTGATTCGATATCTACAAGTTCATTTGTTATCCTTCGGTATGCGAATCATGAACCAAATTCTGCTTCTTGCTCAAAAGATTCCAAAACTTTTGAGTTTTTATCTAATTTCAATTTCTGAACTTTAAACATGCCCATGAAATTATATGAACTCTATCTAGCAAAGTTGGCTTAGATAATTAAATAGATATAAAATGCTTATATAAAATGCTTAGGCTTTTATAAAACCCTCTCAAACCTCATTTAACTGATAAAACCCTCCCAAACCTCATTTTCGACCTCATTTAACTTTTTTTATATATATTTTTTCACTGTTTTAATTTTCTTATTCTTTATGATACAAAATTATATTAGCACTTTAAGGCATGTTTTCGATGAATTTTTCCCACTTCAAGCTATCATAAATAAGCCACCAAACATTAGTGATTCAACAGAAGTATGTTTCTTTTCGCTACAAATGTACCTGGAATCAAGAAATTCTGTAATATTTCAAATTTAAATATCTTCGATAACTTCCATATTTCAAACATTTAATATTCCACTCATCGATTCATTTAATTTATTTTTGAAATTTGAGTGTGTTTGATGATATGGAATTGACATGGAAAATAAATTTTTTAAATATAAAAACTGAAATTACCTATATGTAATTGAACCGCTCAATCCTAGTTTCATACGATTTCAGTATAATGAGTTTTATGATATGATAAGAAGTTTGGAAGCGGTACCTAACAGTTATGGACCCAATCGAACGATGGTTTTCTTGCAAATATATGAAGATTTTGATCGAAAAATATGCAATTTCTTTAATATGTTAGGTATGGGAGATCAGAATGATTTCACGCCGTCGTACGATAATTTACCGATATTTCTGAATCATTTCCACAATCTACCATTCATCAAAACGAGGATCGATGAAAAGTTGGTCAAAATTTTTAGTAATTGTAATTGTGAGATATATCAGAGGCACTTCCGATTAAACGTAACACGAGCGTGTTACATAGTGAATTAAAATAATGGTGAATTAAGCTAGTGATAAATTGATATCATCTGTGATAGTATCATAAAGATATTTCAACCCTTAAAAGTTAACATGTGATAAGTAGAAGGCCTTTCAAGATAAAAGCAAAGATACATCAGTAGGGTTGTAAAAACCACGAAGAATTTTATTGTTATCGAATTGTTTTACGAGATAGGGATAAAATTGCAAGCGTAAGGAATAAGCATTAATCGATCGATCAAATAGGTCGAACAATGAAAAAAGGAAATGCAAATGCTTTGTAGAAAATCTTTTCAAATGAATTCACAATCACAATGAATAAAGGTACGAAAGACAATCCCGCTTATTCAGTAAGAATTGAACTTTTCAAACATTAAATCAAAATTTTTTTTTCAGAGGTGAACACAGGCTGGTATCATTCATAATTACAGCAATTGCACAAAATATGTCTGAATGGTCCAATCGTGCCGAATATGTAGATGCATGTCGTAAGGTCTTACATAATTACCCACGTTTCAATGCCACCGTTTATGATGGAGATTCGGCTGTGCTTGATTTAGTACTAACTGCAAAAAAGGATCTTATTGGATCAGTTGCTGTTACGGTCATTTGTATGGCAGCTGTATGCTTATTTTTCATTGGCAGCAAGATTGGCGTACTTATTATTACTTTCACGATCTCGTCCATTTGTTTTAGTAAGTTATCGCAAATTTCTAATCATACATTGAATGTCTTAAATATAAATAAATCGATAAAGCAAAAGTGAAAGAAAAGTTCTAAAATAAAATATAATCTCTCACTTTAGCATTAGTTGGTTCATTATCATGGTGGGGAGCGGATATGGATCCTGTAACAATGATTGATGTACTTATTGCCACTGGATTTAGCGTCGACTACACCGTTCATATCGCATACAAGTTTTACAAACTGACTGGTGGTCGAGAAGAGCGAATTAAACAAAGTTTCCGCGAAATGTGCGGTCCCATGCTCCAGGTGGAAACTTCTACTTTTGTTCCTTTACATTTGTCTACTAATTAATTGGTAAAGACGTCCAACTTCGGACTTTGAATCAGAATCTCCTATATCATCCGTCAAATTTCAGGTTTATAACATAAAATATATTTCACTTATTCTATTCTGACTAAGCGACTAAATGTCACGTACTTCATCCGATTTAAAATTAGCTTAGAGAGAAGAATCTAAACTATAAATTAGATTTCAACCCGATTCAATTGAACTACTGTTCCGGCAGCAGAAATTTTAATTTACAGGCTGGCATATCAACGATACTTTGCATGTTGCCGCTTATCTTTGTTCCAACTTATGCAATTTTAGCATTTGCTAAAACTATCTTTTTGGATGTAGGTTTAGCTCTGTTGCATGGACTTTTCATATTACCTATTTTACTGGTCACCTTATGTCGCAATAAACGGGAAGAAAGCAGCACCAACAAAACAACAATAACATCCGGAATGATGAATAACAATATGATGAATAGTGGCTGTCTATTAGAAAAATGAGTTAACATTAATTGAGATAATTTTATTGTATTCATTAATCTCAGTAATTTGCAAATGGTTCTTCCTTTTCTTTCATATGAAAGTCTTTATAAACATTAGCATCTTTCAAAAACTTTGTACAAATCATGCAAATCGGCAATTCGACGTAGTGAGGACATTAACTTCTGTGGCGGTAAAAAATTGATTTTTAATGCAGGAAATAGAATATCCTGGTAGACATTCTTCCAAGACAACTTTTCATTACATAAACCTGAAATCGCCTCGCCACCGCAGAATTCCTTTTTAAGACAGAAGAACTCCGATAAGGCCCAGCAAACTTGTTCGAAACAAGTTTGCTCCTGAAATTACAACAAGCTTAACTTTCTAAAAGTTTTTTGCATAACTACTGCTTCATCATATTTTATTATTTAACTTCTCAGAAAAAAGTGCTTTCAGCACTTGGAATCAAAATTGTAAAAGTCGTTATACATAATGTTATTTAAAAGTTTATGCATAATGTTGTAAGCTTAAATTTGCTGTATTTAAACATCTCAAGCGATATGAAAACTGACATTGTCCCACATAATATCGTTTGCCAAAGTTAATATCAACCGAGGAAGAGATTCCAGTTGTGGAACAAATCCATCAATTAAAGATGGAATTGAATTAAGATTTCCGTTCTCAGTAATGGATAAACAGAAATAATCATCCAACATTTCACGATTTTCAATTACTATAGCTGCTTTTTGTTGAGTTTCTGTAGGAGATAAGTTACTGTCAGCAATACATAATAGTTCAGTTAACGGTGCGCATTCGCTTAATTTATATGACCCAAAATTACCGAACGAAAGAACGAGAATCTGCAATTGAAAAATACCTCATAGCTAGAAAAAATTTAGAAAGATCAATTTTTCAACAGTGTCAAAAGAAACTACAACTGCTCTACTACTAATAACAGAAGTATCGATGTGTATTATTGCTCATGGAGATTCAAAAACAATCAGCCGGTCAACTACTTTTAGCATTTCTGATGCTTTTTTCAGTAGTAACACTGCAAAGGACGCTCGTCCGAAAACAGTTTCAAATACCATTAAACATACTAGCATTACTGACCAAAACAAAAATTTCAAAAAACTATTAACACTCTTATGTCTTAATTAATTAGAGAAGGGAATTTACTGGTACATTTAGACTTTTACATTTGGATTTTTCTTTTCCATCAATTTTTATTTGCTTAAAAATTAGCTTGGAGAATAACTACCTGATAAAAGAAATTCCGCAAACAATCTTGAGCATCTACTAAGTAAATTGATGTTGAATGTTGTATAAGAACCTGATCGACACTCACGGCTCCAACATATATGTGTTCTTTGAACAATGAACGTAAACCGACAGAAGCTGTTGTGCAAAGTGCATTCTTCATATTTTCCAATGATTCAAATTCGAATTTACGCCAATGACCACCATCTGATGACTTTATGCTAAATTAATGGAGCAAATCATGATCTAAATTTATGAAAAACTGAAGTTTCATCAAATTTCCAAATTCCACCCCACTTTTTTAATATTAAAAATGATTTCGGAATCTAAATCAAATTAGTTGCAAGTAATTGAAATAATAGATCGAGAACTGGAAGCTTAAAATAAAAATTTTCATTCATATTTGCACCATGCAATAGTAATCGTATTTGGAGTACATTCGAGCTGTCTTCCTATCGAAACCCGAAGGCACGCTAAATACAACCACACATAAACATAGTGATATAAATTCCCGTCAAAAAATACTATTCAATCTATCAATCGGCTTGATTATCGATGACTTCAATATAAAAGTAACTTCGAAATGATATCATTTGTTGCATGTGAGGATGATACAATTTGTGACTGACTAGTGACAAATTCTTCTAACCGTCTCTCTTTCGCATCAGTTCGTACCAGCTAGAAAAAATTAAAAATCTGCTCCTCCTTTTAAATCGCTTAAATGCAAATTTATGGAAATTTTACGAAAATCTATGATTACGAAACCTGATGAGGATAAACTTTTGGTGACTTGAAAAAAGATGGTGGAGGTCCACCAAGCGATTCTGACACAAGCATCGTCAGTTTTTTTTTGTTCATACTTGTATTCATTGTATCAATTGATTTTGACGAACTGCTGCTTTCAGCATTATCGACCATTAATGGAAATTTCGGATATACATCACAACTGCCAGCCGAACTTATAATCAAGTTTTCCACATACTGAGTGAGACATATAATTTTAATTGTAACTCGAATCAGAAAATAGAGAATTGAAGTTTGTAACACATTGCTTAATGGAATTTAAATGAAATTTCCGAAGCAAAAAACAAGTAAAAAACTTACTTCTTGAATGGAGCTGATGATGTTATCTTGTTCCAGAAAATAAACAATAGATTTAGTCGGATGCACATTAACATCGACACGTCTCGGTTCAATCTACGAAAATTCGATTCATTACTTGTTCCAAGCTACTCATTTGTAAATTAATTCATCGGACTTTCAGATCAACCATTTATCGGGCACTCAGATTCAGGACATGACCGACAATTATCAAGTTGGTAGTATAAGATTTACTGCTACTGATAGCAATTTCAATTCGTGAAACAATAGAACATTAAAAACTTAATTCAAAGTACCTGCAAAGAAATCATGACAAATGGTGATATAGTATTTTGCGCAGCAAAAACAACATCCAGTGCTTGTTTAAGCGCCTGACATTCGACACTACGACCATTGATGAATAAATAAAAAACTTTCTGACGATTCTGAAAAATGTTTGCTCAACGTAAACACTTTGGATAAGGTAAAGTGAGAGAATTATTTTTCTGCAAATAATTTACAGAACAATAATTTTATGATGACTCAAATACTCAATGATGTTCATTTCCTGATAGTTATGATGAAACACCTTAGCTACTGTCCCACGCCAGGCTTGCAATTTCAATCCTTTAAACACATATTTAATCCAATTTCGTTTAAGATACACATGACCATTTTTCACTGATAATTATAACAGAAATAAGAAGGAATGATAAAACTACCTGTCGATTTTGAAGACTCTCAGCAGTGCATGAAGCGGTGGGTCGCACCAAACAGCCATTTAAAGTGAAATGTAACGCTGAATTACTATAACTTAACAAGATGAGATCCTAAAATAATACGCAAACTAAATTTTAAACTTATAATTTTCGCAATGCAACATAAAATACTTCATTTAGAAGATTTTGCTGATTTGGGAAAAAGTTACCTTGAAAAACTTTCCACCAACTAACGAAGATACTGTTTCACAAAGGTCATTCGTACCAGCTGTTCGAAAATCACTTCCACTACCACAACGTCGTAATGTAAATGACACGGAACTGAAAATAATAATGGGTCGTGGATGATATTAATCAAAATCTCTAACAAATGAAAGGAATTCAATGCGATAAAAGCCACTGTTACTGACGGGTTATGAACAGCATATCGTACAACAACATCAGCAATACGATTCATTTCGTCAGCAGGATATTTAAGTGCACGACGACGTGATGGACAATTGTAAAACAGATCTTCGGCAGTTACTGTGGTACCATTAAGTCCAGCTGATGGTTTTATATTGCCTTGCAGCTGACTATCTACAACAGTTACCGGTCATGATTTTATTCATTAAATCATGCCAATACTTTGAAATTATTGCAATTAGCATATAACATAATAATTCTGCTATTATCATTTTTAACGCAATAAATGATAAAATTAGAGGGATATACAAATCCCATTAGATATCTTCTTTTGTTTCTTAATGGTGGAACATGATAAAAGATAATAGTCTTCTACAAAGAATGATAATGTTTCGGAAATTATTTCAACACTTTTTATCAAATTCAATAACAATTCCAATTATTACCTGCATAACGACCAACATAAGCACAAGGTGAATCCCGAGTTTTTGAGATGATTGTCATTTTAGCTACATGACTTATGGATGCAAGTGCTTCACCCCTAAATCCAAATGTGCTCATACATTCCAAATCTTCGTATCTCTCCAACTTCGATGTAGTAAATCGTTCACAGACAACTGGTAAATCATCTTTGGAAATTCCTTTACCATTATCCTGAGAAAAAAAATTTTTTTCGAACATCCAAAGCAGTAATACAATTACCGCCATCAGAAACAATCAACAGAAGTAAGTCAAGCCTAACTCTTTTAAAAAAGTTCTTAAACTGTTCACCAAAAAAATTATAACGAACGTTTGAACGGACACAAATACGTTTTTAAATTTTAGTTGATTTTGTATTACCTGTACTTTCAGCAAATCGAGACCACCATTTTTAGCTGTAATGACGATTTCTGTAGCTCCCGCGTCTAATGCGTTTTCGATCAACTCTTTAATGGCATTTGCTGCTCGTACAATCACTTCTCCGGCAGCGATACGGTTGATAACATCTTCCGGAAGACGACGTATCATTCCTTCCCAACTTAGTTCCTCCGGTACCACACAATCGATGACTAAAACAGAATGACAAGTAGCTTCAAAAATTTATGTACTTGAGCATAAACCTCTAATGAAGCGCAGCCACGTAAATGACTGAGACAACTTGCATAATTGACTGAAACATCAAATCTCAGGTGTAATTTGTAATACTACAATGGATGTTGCTTTTTTGTCTTTCTTTCAGCGGAAATGTAAAAGTTTGCGCAAATGAAACAATGATAAACGCAGGCCTTAAGAGATTTGTACTTCATGTTCAAAAATCTCGAAATGACAATGGACCTTCTGCAATTATACTGCTGTTCGTTAATGAGAAACTCAATTGTGAGATGATGAAGGATTCCTGCATGACCTTTTTGGGATTTCTCCATGGAATCCACGCTCCAGTCGGGAATTTCGAAATAAAGAACAACTCGCAATCCATTTCAAAGAACTCTTTCACATTTAATACTGTTTAAGGCATAAAAGTCATAAATTGATTTTCAGACGTTACTGGCTTGTAATAAAGGAAGGTGAATTTAAGAAGATCAAAGATAAATAAAACGAGAAGTTTTAATTTAAATTCTCTTTTGCAAAACAAAGAGCTTAAATTTTAATTCTTTTTTATTTGCTTAAGAAATAAGTTAAATGTTCTTTTAGGAAAATCATCCGGAAGAGTGGACAAAGTCTTGATTCGGCCTTTTTTTTAAGCTAATGGAGGAGATATGAATTTCTTTAAGAAGAATGACTTCAACCTAGCAAACAATATATTCATATGGCCAAGTTACTCTAATCCAGGCCTGTCCAGTCTTCCCTCATTATGATGCTTCGTGTCCCTGATCATTGCTCAGTTCTTTCATCTTTTCCACTAGCATCTTTTTTTCTTCTTTAGATTCACATTATCAGTTCTAATTGCGTATAACAAGGCCGATCACATAGACTTATCAAAAAGTGCTCGCAGAAATGGAACTGTTTATAAGTTAAAAATTTCTACGCTTTGGTACCGCTCGATGCACTTTTTTAAATGAAACCGGTATCCCGATTGAACATTCGGGTCAGGGAGAGGCAGAAATAGGAGAAAGTGATGAAAATATTGCCGGTTTTTATTTTAAGAAAAGCATGCTATTGGGTGAAAACTTACAGAAGCTGGTATAAAAATTGTTGCAAAACCACAATTATAATATTACATGAAAATGATGCCATATCTAAAGAATAATTCTATCCCATAAGATTTCATCAGACTTTTTGTTTCTTTAATTAAGATTAATTTAATGACTGCTGTAGTTTGCTGTAATTTCAAAATCAATTAAAATAGAATTTTTAAATAAACATTGGTTAAGTGTTAAATTACTTTTAGATGGAGATCGAAGCACGAGAAAAAGCTTATACGTTTGTAACGTATACAGCGGTAGTCTTTTCGTTAGTTTCCATCCTAGCTGTATTTTTGACATTACCGATGGTTAACAATTATGTTACTATTATCGGTTCTCGAGTTACCGAAGAAATGGAATATTGCCAGGTGTGATGTGATAATTGAATGTTATTTACTGAGCGGTAATAATGATGGGTGCTGAAAACGGTAAATCTTTTAGTCACCAGAGGAAATAGTGAAACTTCAGAAGGTTATAAAATTTCAATATCTATCATTTTTATCGATTCTCAAATTACTTTGTACTTTTTAACTTTTTCAGTGAGCTATTCGAGTTATCCAAATGCGTGATTTATTCCCGAAGACTGACTAGGGTATCTGTCGCTCATTCGTGGATTTTGCTAAACTTCGCTTTTCCAACTGATTGGATCGATCAGATGAATAATCTAAAGCTATCAAGTGTTAAAGTAATAGATAGTTCAATGATGTAGCCTGAAATTTAACTTCAATTTAGACATCTGCCCGTGAAGTTATGCTTGAAATGCGCGAACATCGCTCGCTATCTGGAGCATTTAGCGCGTTGCATGTTATTGATGGCAATATCGAAAATTCATTCAATATTACAAGAGCTAAGAAACAAACTGGATGCGGAGGTTTGTTTGAAAATATAAACTGTTGAAATTTACTGTTGAAAATTAAAACTGTTGAAAATTATAACTTGTTTTTATTTTTTTCAGTTCACCTCTTGTACTATTTTCAACTTTAGGATGCTGCTTGCCTGGATTACCAGGACCTGATGGTCCGCCCGGCAAACCAGGATTGCCAGGACGTCCAGGAGCACTAGGTGCACCTGGCTTTCCAGGAAAACCACCAAGGTTAACTATTTTTGCTGATGCTTCATAATTGTAGTATCTTATTTTTGATTGCTAAGTTCTCACGATCTCTGATGTTATAAAATAATATTTGGAGTGTTGAAAGCACTTGAGTGACTGGAAATCGATATTCTGTTCCATGCTAATCTTAAAATTTGCAGAATATGTGAAGAGCTACAACCACCACCCTGCAAACCATGTCCACAGGGGCCACCAGGTCAGCCGGGACCAAGCGGAGACAAAGGTTTGATTTAAATTTTCTTAAAATTTCGGAGAGACTTCTTAAATTAAGTCCAGTAAGCACTAATAAATGGAAAGCAATATACCGTCTTTACTTATGGCATGAATTTTTGCTGCTTATCATCGAAGGTCATTGACCCTAGCAGATCGAAAAGATTGCGACAGTTAACTTACCACCAAATAAATATCCCTAATAATTATAATTGTGAAATCAGATTTTTAATTTTATCCCAAAATTCTCTTTAGGATCATTAATAATTGAGATTTATTATCACCTAAATGTAAATTTAATCAAAACAAGTTTCTTTTCTTCAATCACCTCGCATCTGTGAATATCATTGAAGACAGTAGTAATACATCATATCTACATACTAGTATATCCACATACATGTCTGAATAGAAACGGTCACACCACCGGAACGTTTCCTTTTACTGTCCTATTTGACCGTTTCATCTCTTTAGTTTATTCATAAAAAAAGTTTCAGCTCCCATTTGCGTTATTTCATTCTTCATTCCTGAATTTTCCAATGACTATTTGTTATATTTAAAAATATTTGACTATTTTTTTACTATCGCTAATAGCAAACAAATATAATCTTTTAAATGATACATTGTAATTTGTACATATTCAATGCATTTCTCTCCTTCATGAAAAACATTCAATTGACAAAATTGATATTTTAAATAACTTATAGAAAATGATAGCAGTTACAATTATCCTCGCATCTGATATCATTTGTTATAATTTGCGATGATAATGAACATTTTAATTGGAGCAATGAATGACGAGATGCATTGTATTTTTTGTTTGAGTAATTAATTATAATATGTTTGAGAGAAAATGAAATCAGCCCAGTTTTTTTAGTCGGCATTATTTTTCTGTGTTTTTATTAACAGATCGATGCGTCATATAGCGTCACATCGATGGAAACCAGTTTCAAAATCAGAAGAAATTCGGAATGAATCACTTTTTTAATTGTTGCCCAGTAAATGTTCCCAATCTCAAGGACATAGCAGTATCATTCAGATCAATGAACTAAAATTGACAAGACAATGATAACATACTTATGATTATTGATTTTTAATATAGGCCCATCTGGACGACCAGGACAACCAGGCCGTATGGGAAATCCAGGTCGTCCAGGATTACAAGGGCCACCAGGACCACCAGGATCTAATGGAAATGCAGGTATTGACGGATTACCTGGTGAACCAGGTCGCTCAGTCATCAGTATGCCATCAATTCCTGGAGATCCAGGACCAGCTGGAACAGAGGTTCATGCATGATTAATCCTTGGTCTAGATGATATCAAACTTGTAATTTTCAATTTGCAAATCAATCAAATCAATTGTAACTACAAACACTCTACAGGGACAACCAGGAAAACCCGGTGATCCTGGACCACCAGGGAATCCAGGGCAACCAGGGAATCCTGGTCCTCGTGGGCCACCTGGTCTACCTGGACAGCAAGGTAATCTGGGAGAGATAGGCGAATCAGGACAGCCAGGTCAACATGGACAACCTGGCGAACCGGGAATTTGTGCTAAATATTGCGCTTTGGACGGTGGTGTCTTCTTTGAGGATGGAACACGACGTTAATAAAGTAAGCAATATTCAGTCACATTTTTTGACTTACACTGAAATTTTTATTGCCTAAATTTTATTTCAAAATTGTTGTACTTGTGCCATGATTTTAAGCAAAAACAGTTTTTATTTCATTTTATCTTTTCCTAAAACGTTAAAAAAATTTCCAACTATTATTTTAGGATTATTCTCCACATTGAACTTTCCAATGAAACAACAAAAACTTTTTTCCCAATAGCTTTGTGAAGTTATTTGCAACACTTTATCATCATTTCAATTCTCTTGTTTAGAAAATAAGAATGAAATTGAAAAAAAAAACTAATAGAAATGTAAATAAGTTTATCAATAAATGATTCGCAGAGAAAGTTTGCGGTTTTTTGCATAGCAACCCGATCATCAGTGGTACTTCACTATGTCATCCTTACATTCGTACAATCAATATTTCCGCCACTCATTCAAAACGTTTTTTTTGAAATTCATTGTGATTTTGAAAAGAAATTATCGTTGATGACAAACTTCTTCAATTATTTAATTGAAATTCTATAGTTTTTAAATTTCCAAATGCGCTTGAGATTGAATGAGAAACGCTTATTAGACTGCATCTTTACGCTTTGATGGTTGAACTAAAATAAAAGTAGCGAAGTCTGAGTGGCAGATATTTCTTGATATGGAATTCTGATTGAAACCAAAGTTTACAAATTAAATATCATAATTATTCATTTACCTTTCATTCGAATTCGTAGTACAACTGCGAATAAAAAGTGAAACTGCAATAATTATTGAAAATATTCCATATTCCGTATCAAAAAGAAACATCCACTACTGAGCGTTTCTTCTTTTTGATATGGGATATGGAATGTTTTCAATTATTATTCCAAAACTCAGGCCCTTTTTGACAATAAAGGTAATGGAAGATCACGAAATGGAAAAAAATGAATCTTTATAAAAAATCGAAAAATTATAAAGTTATCGCCATAATGAAATGTTTATATCTTCCGGCAAGAGTTACGCGAATTCGGTGTAGTAATCGAAGAAAATCAGGATAAAATCAAATACACTGCTTACTGGTGGTATTTGATCATTAACAAAAAGGAAAAGAAAAATGCTATTCTCCGACAGTTATTATGGTTTGGAAGACATTTTTCATTCATCGATAACAGAGATAATTCATGTTGAAGAAAACCGGATTTCCTAATTTTACTTCTAAAATCACAATTCGGAAAAGTCATTGGAGTAGAAAACAAAATTAACAATTGTGAAATGATGCAGAAGACTGAAGAAATTTATTCCTTTTGCCGCTCTTCGTTTATTAAATGTAAAATTGGATAGTGTCTTATAATATACATTTAAGTGCAGTGCAATTTGCAAAAACTGACTAATATTCAATATTTTGTTTCTGTTAGGGTCAGATACGAAAAGCAAATGATTTTAAAGTTTTAAAAATAATTGTAAATTAATATACATAATTATAAATCGATATTGGTAATTTCACATTACGAGTATTTAAATATGATGATTTTGGATGAACGATCTATAAGATAAGGATTAATGTATTACTGAAATATTGGAAGTAATAGACATACTAAATTACATGGCTGGTTACAAATAATGATCTTGGATAGATAGATGCTTCTAGGACATGTGTGTATGAAGAATGGTTGTACATTGCATGTCAACCAATTCTGAGAAAAGTAGCCTGAAACTGACCCTTTTCTCATCCTGATATTAATATTGAATTACATATAAGATAGGTGACAAAACTGAAAAATAACTATTTTGATATGTTGGAAACACGGGTAAAGGTTGTTTGTCAAAATAATTCTCTTGGATCAGCAGAATGGACAACGTGGGGGTGGGGATATTTCGAATTACCAGATGAGATGAGCAGGGACGCCATTGCTATCATTATCGTACACTTCTCCCTTAGTGATAATGACAGTAGTCAAAAGTATAATCGCCGTGGAGAGATGAAGAGAATAGGATGGTACAGGTAGTAGTATATTCTGGTGCTCCACAACCGAATACTTCATGGTTCTCTTCTTTTCTTTCCATTTTCCTTCTTTCCTTCTGCTCCTCTTTAGAAGCCCTCAAGGCGGAGTATACTCTTCCTCCAAAAAAGCAAATCCCGTACAAGACTGTCAACCTTTTGATCTCAATATATAAATTGCTACCACTTTCATTTAGTCTTCATCTTACATACATTCACACACATACATACACATACACGTACACACATATTACATATACAGATACATCCATACAAATACAATATGAAGTAATTACAAGAATTTACATATTTTGTAATTCAGTAATTAATTTAGCGGTCACTTCAACAAGCTCTCTATAGTAACAGAATTGATAATCGCTTAACTATTTCAGGTCCTAAAATTTGGATTTAACTTGCCGTCATGCTGATTGAATCGGAAATACGAGAGAAAGCCTATCGACTGGTGACAGTTTCGGCGGTAACATTTTCATTTGTGGCAATTTTGGCCATTTTTATTACTCTACCAATGGTTAACAATTATGTCAATTCGATACACATGCGAGTACAGTCAGAGATGGAATTTTGTAAGGTAAGTTTTCCTCTGAGCACTTTTCTTTCATTCTTCCTAATTCCTGTTTCTATTCCTGTTCCAATTTCTGCTACTTTATTTTTAACTTTACGTCAAGATCAAGTGGAATCATTACATATTAATGGCAGTAGAAAGAGATTCAGTTAATGACAAATGCGTGCCTTTTGGTCCTTACTTTTGTCCTTTATGAATCATTGCTTATCTATTCTCCAATTTCTTCATGGGGTAATGTTATTGATTTAGACAGATTTACTGGTTAGGAAACAGTTTCATTCCGTCTTTCTAAAATTTAAAAAATTCAGAATTTTCAGTTTAAGATACCAATCAAACGATAGTTTTATTTTATGGACGATAGTTTTATTTTATGGACGATGCATCTTCTTTCTAATGGTCATCGAACTTGTCGTAAATTTGAATCCTGAAATCGTATGCTTGACAATCTCCAAAAATAATCATCTTCCAATTCGTAAAAATCATTTTCCATTCATCTTTCTTTGTGTATGATTCCTTTTCATCGAGGAAAACATGATAGCATCTACAAAAACTTTTAACAAAAATGATTCATATCGTTGATTCTTCTCATTTGATAATGTTCTTCTTTAAAATATCCAAAAATGTGTATTGAATTCTTTTAACGAATTCCTTCTTATCAATTTGATTCTCTCATATACCTTCTAATATCGATCAAAATTTTCTCAAAATTCAACAAAAAAGCTTGGAAAAGCATGATTTCTCTTATCAAATGAGTGGAAAAAGAAAAAGGTTTTGTTGAACAAATTGTTGAAAATAAATAGAAAATTTTGTAAAGTTTGATTTAAATTTTTTCTTAATGAGAACAAAGTAATATATTTTAGAAAACGATATATCTCGATAGATAATGGACACATGACGGATAGTTTAGCTGTGTGATAATTGACATATCTCGTTAAGAGTGGATCCGTTCATTCTTTCCAGCGATAACCAGTTCCTCTCGGTAGTGATAACTATCAATTGCTTCCACTGTTAATTACATTTGAATCAAAGCCTCTTATTTTGATTCATTGATTAACTGCCAACACTAATGCGTTATATCCGCAAACAAAAAAAATGCGCAATAGTAAGGATGAAGTTAGCTAGTCACATTTGCGCATCTAAACTTTCTATCAATTAGATAATTGTTCACATTTAATATGTAAATGTAATGATTATTGATGGTAGTAATAATAATACTAGCAATAACTATCACTTACAGCTCATTATCACTAATAATTTTCGGGGAAAAATTTGGCAGTAAATAAAAAATTCTAATTCGGCTTGAAAAATAATACTAAACAATCGAATTTAAACATATTTTGATGATATAATAGCAGATATGATAGAGTAATCTTGAAATGTTAAAGATTGTATATCGCATATTTGAGAATGAGTTTCTTAGATGTACAAGCTCAACAGGAATCTATTTTTTACCTATTAATATCAAGGGTATGAAGGCCTTAAATTTTACGGATTATTTCACAAGAAATTACCGATGCCATCATTTCACTGCATCTTGTAGTTATGATATTCCTTATGAAAATTAAAGCTTCGAAAAAAACCATAGGTAAACAATGTTGCAAAATATATTAATTCAAAAAACCGATTAACTTTAAATCAGCGTTTCTCATTTCTTTGTGAAGCATTTTTTGTGTAAAATATAAGATCAAAGGATTAAACAAAATTTATTTGATAGTAAGTGCTGAAAGCACTGCGGAATATTAAATCTTCTCTGTATATCTTGATATAGATGAGGGATTCGATATTTGTTCACGTTGCTTGGTTTAAGTTTTGTGCCGATGCTATCTTAGATAACGAAAGGCAAATCCTTTCACACAAACTTTTTGTTGAAGATCAAACTTGCTGGTAGATAGAATCGCACAATTTTTACCATTTGTTAATGAAATTAAGTAAATTCGCCACCCGTCATTACATTGTCAAAAACAAAAATTTTCACAAAAGTGACAAACGAGACAACAAATATAATTTATAGTCAGAATGTTAGAATGTTCTAATGATTATAAATAATAAGTTCGAATGAAAATTGTAAAACACATCTTTGCAGTTATCAGCTCGCGATGTGATGATGGAAGTGAATGAGTATCGGGCAGGACCTCGAGACACAACACCGGCGTTTCAAAAATTAGATAATGAAACTCTCGTTGCTGGTCGCTCCAAGAGACAAAGCAGTTATTGTGAAGGTCCGTTTCGATTTTAGGAATTTATATTTATTAAATACTGAAAACTCTCTTGAAATATCATCTATTATTTTAAACTTGGCCGTAATTTTGATTCCAAGATTCCCAATTCTGAATACACTAGAATATTATTTTTGCAGTTCCGAATTTACGCTTCTAAAACCATGAATTATTCGTTCAAAAAAATATATTTATTTATCGAGAGCTAATTTCATCACTTTCAGGCTGCTGCTTACCAGGACTTCCCGGTCCAGATGGCCCTCCAGGCAAAAATGGTGTTCCTGGACGTCCAGGTGCACCTGGAGCGCAAGGATTCCCTGGAAGACCACCAACGTTAGCTTTTCTTTATTCGGTCCGGTTCTCTCCCACTCCAAAATACTGAAACTATTTTTCGAAAAAAGTTGCTAAAGGGCATCACTGCCAATTGATCAAAGATTGTCCATTTCAGAATTTGTGAACAAGCTGTCGAACCACCATGCTCGCCGTGCCCTCCAGGAGAACCAGGACCACCAGGACCCCCAGGAGACCAAGGTTCCATTCTGCTTTTCCTTGACTTCTCCCAAAGTAAATTGATATGCAGAAGTAGGTCGACATTTCAAATGTAATTGTTTTACACTTAATTTTCAAATTCTAGCACTCTTATGCTAATTTCAGGAAATGCTGGTCCACCCGGATATCCGGGTCGAAATGGTAATGATGGACCACCGGGGCCACAAGGTCCTCCAGGACCACCTGGACCAGCAGGAGAGCCAGGGCATGAAGGTCCACGAGGAGAGCCAGGAAGACCAGCTATAACTTCACCAGCAACACCCGGTGACCCAGGTGCACCCGGTGAACCCGTAAGTGCCATTGAATTTCCAATTTTCTTAGGAAATTTCGTAACTCAAAAAAATTTGATCATCAAATTTGAATTTGAAAATGATAATGCGAAGCAACCGCTGCAGGGACCACAAGGACTGCCTGGTGATCAGGGTCCAGCAGGACGTCCAGGATCGGAGGGCCCACCAGGAATGCAAGGACCACCAGGGCCACCCGGCCAGCCAGGTCAACAGGGTGAAGATGGACGACAAGGACCACCAGGACATCCCGGTCCACAAGGCGAACGAGGTATTTGCCCAAAGTACTGTGCTTTGGATGGTGGCGTCTTCTTTGAAGATGGTACAAGACGTTAAAGAAATCTCATAAGAAAAAGATCCTACAAAATTGCTCATTTTTTGTCGAGTTAACGTATTTTTGGATTTGCATGCAGTGTAGTCCAGTTGTGAGAAAAATTAATAAGTGAAAAATCCGTTATCCCTCTAACAAAATCTATTCTAGATTCTCTGTATTTCGAAACTATCCATACAAAAAAATTGTGAAATTTACTGATTGGGACAAATGAGATTTCATATCATGTCAAAAAATTCAGATTTCCGTAATCTCCCAGTAGATTTTGCTTTTTTTATCGTATTTTTGGATTTGCATGCAATATGGTCCAGTTATGAAATTGGCAAATAAAGCACTTTTGCTGTCATTCACGACTGGAATTTCTGATACAAATAGGAACTTTGGAGTTTACTGAAGAGTATTAAAACTTAAAAATTTAAAGTTAGCAAAATGATATTGAAAAGTGATGACTGGAAAGTGGTCTAGCTATTCCTGAAATATGATTCATCTTTTTTCTTAACCAAAAAAAATTATAATTCAAAAAAATAATAGACTTTATGTATATCAAAACGTTGTTCCAATCTGTACAGTAGATTCCTGAGAATGATCTGGTACAATGCATTCAATATACAACAAAAAACTGTTTACTTACGAACAAGAATTCAAAAAAATTCGAAATTTTGAATCCGAATTTCCTGAGATCAACAATAATTCTGAGAGGGATTGAGAATATCATTTATCAAATAGCAAAGAGCTTAGAGAAGCCGCTTACGACAAAAACGTGACCCACAAAAGCATTCGAGCTGCTTTCCATCCACAGCACCTTCCGAATAACCATAATCCCAAAACAGTTCCTAAAAATAAAGCTACGAAAGAGCACTTTAAGTTTCCTCACTTTCACTCTCGCTCTAATTTTTGATTAAATTCTGCAACGGTAACATCGCACTCACTGCTGAAATTAAAATTACTGAAAATAGATAATTATTTGTTACATAAACAGTAGCGATACGAAAAACAGGCTACATAGTAAAATTATTTTTTTATCAGGCGCCTCCGCAAAAAAATCGAGGACGTAGAAGCAACTTTACCATAGAACTTAAATGTTATTTCTCAGAGATTGCCAAAATCTGAATAATTAGACAGAAACAACATACTGAACCCGCAGAGATCTTTGTTGTCGTGAAAAACGCAATCCAAGGTAAACGAAAATCATGAGTATCAACATATACCAATTGGGTACGAATGTTAGGCTGACAGCTATGATTAAAAAATCGTCCAATATTACCCTTTTTCTTAGCATCAATTGTGTACAATGACGGAAGTTTCATACTCTCAACATATTTTACCATATCGAAACGACCTTCGGGTGGACCTAATTCGAAACTTTTATACGATGATAAAATCAACAAAACTTAAAGAGAATGAATTTGGGAAATTTAAATCACTTTTGTTGTCGTGTACTCGGAAATACCGGATCTATATAAAGTTATAGACGCTAATAAAAAGACAGGAATAGTACCTGCTGGTTCAACTGCCGGCATATCATCACTGTCAGATTTTGTTCCACCCGTAAAGACATCTGATTCCACCATAACAAGTGATGAACGAGCATAATCTAGATCTGCTGCTGCTAACTCACTCTTTTCCTGAAAACAATTAATGGAAATTGAATGAAATAACGAATAAAGCGTTTTGCACAATATAGCTTTCAAAAGAAAGTCAGTGAAACTTACTGATTCCCGTGTTGAAGAGTCCCGCTGTTTTTCATTATTTTCTCGCACAAGTTTTCGACGTTTCTGCATTTTAACAGCTTTAGACTCGGAATGATTTCCTTCTGAAGAGAGCGAAGAATCCTGACCACTAGAACATAGAGTTTACAATCGATAAAGAAAATAAGTGATTTGAAACAATAAAATTTTCAAATTTCAATAATAGTTATTCTTTATTTAGAGAGCAGTAATTGATGGAAGCAATAAAATCTCTCATTTATGCTGCGACAAAACAACAAAGAAATAAATGGTTTCCTGACCTATCATAATCCTCGTCTTCCTCCTCACATGCATCATCATCAACCGTAATCAATTCACTTTCAACTGATAAATTAGATCCACCACCTTAAGAAAACAACCTAACAGCATTTTAAACATTTTTTCACAATTCAACCTAAAAGATGATCCAAAATGTTGAACCTTACCACAGTTGTTTTCTTCATCTGAATAATAACCGTCATTTGAATCTCCCAAATCAACACCAGCATTATGTTTCTCCTTTTCAACATTATCTACCAAATTTACATCAGCAAAATATTCATCACCGAACTACAAATATTTGTTGAAATTAGTATAGAAAGAACACTCAAAAACCTAAAATTTCTCGAAAGCTCTAGTTTATATGATCTATACACTCCACTGATGCTTCCTTGACTTATAAATGCTCTAATAATAGACAGTTAGTAGAACATTTAGCCTACAGCCACCAAAAAATTGTTAGCGATCACTTCGATCATATACTGCAAGGTACCGAAATATAGCAATTGCTCTACCAACTGAATAAAGATGAGAAACCAAAAAAATACATTCTAAAGGAAGAAACTTGCCGTTTTGCCTTCCTTTTCCGCTTGGCTGTCTGTAAGAATTGCACCAGCGTAAGTACATAAGAAGACACCAGCTGGAATGTCAATCATTGACCGAACACCCCAACCCATTTTTTCCGTTTTAAACAACTACAAAAAAGGCATGAGTAATAGAAATTAAGTCCAAAACAGTTGAAATCAGTAGCAAATGATAAAAACTTAATAAAATTTTTCAAAACTTTCCTAGTCTTCAGATGGACTGGAATTAGTAGGGCATTTCTGCGATTTCGTTTTGCAACCTTTAATTATACGCTTATCTTAACTGCTATTTCTTTCTATATCCGTATATCACTTAAAAGCAGCTTATCTATAATTTTTGCAATTGATCCCTCAATTTCTTTTTCCTGGATATATATTATTTTAACTGTTGAAAGTAATCAACAATGAACACGAGTTTTTAAGTTTAAATTTGGTTTTGGTATTACCGAAACACAAGCTAAAAATGTCTCTAAGGAGTTCAAGATGGTTTCAGAATATATGGAGTTCATAGTTTATAAAATATTCTTCATTAATATAAGCCCCGAAAAGTATCCAGATTGTACTCGGTGGTTAAATAAAAATCAATCCACATACTACAGGAATACAAGTCGAGCTAACTCTTGGAGATAAATTCTGAACAAATAGGTAAAGTAATGAAGAGAAGGAGGGATCCATCAATTTGAAAAATGATTGGAAACCGACATAATCGAATTAGCCGACTCTATTTGGGAATACGCTTTTTATCGGTCGTTTAGATTTCTGATTTCAAGTCATTTCAACCTTATAGATGACCGAACGAATAACCTCAAGAGGAATTTTCATTTGTTGTTGCACCACTCGATTATGGCAGTTACTTCGACTGCATCCACACTTGTCATTACACTCATATAAACCTGACAAATAAGATTCATCTGTACCTCCAAGCGCCAAATTACGATACCTGAAAAAACCCCTTACGACAACAGATAGAGCATACCAATTGTACCAGCCAATAAAATTAAAAGACATAAAGTTTTAAGGGATGATTACATGCTTTAAAAAAAGCGTGCTAAGTGATATTTCGCAAAGTGAATTGAAATTTATGCTGGTTTTAAAATGCAAAATAAAATGAAATTTTGGAACTAACCGAAGTTTATAAAACTAGTGTTAAAATAGAAATGGTTTCTCGTTTTTTTTTTGTTTTTAAGAAAAGCTCACATATATCCTTTAGCATATGATGGTTGAAGACTTTTATCCAAACGTAGTACTTCTGAACGAGTTAATAAGCGACATTCACATCGGGTTTCATCCGCACAGTCATCTGGTTAAAGAAAAAAAATAATGGGACAAATTTTTGTGAAACTCTCCATGATGTTCGAACTTATAATTGCTAGAAGCTCTTTCTTCATGATGAAAAATTCTTGAAGTGTTTAGGAAAAATAACGAATTACAAAATATCAACCAGTGCAAGTACATCCACTGCAAAAATCACGTGATATGGATGACACGTCTGTCTCCTTATCATAAGGATATCGTCGTGGATTATATTCAATCTAGAAAAAAAATTAGGAGCTTCAAATATACTCTAAAACTATAAGTACTTAATACCTAAAGAAAGCGAAAAATGGAAATGACAAAAACTACATTATTGTTCCATTTTCAATACAAAAAAGTTTACTTTTGGTGGTAATTCGTCATCAATTTCATTATAAACAGAAATTGGAATAGCTTCATAACCATTCGTAAAATCATCCATTAACTTAGCTTCAACCGGTGTACGATAAATTACATTCGGGCGAATTGTTCGATCAAATGTGAACAAGTCAATAGTTAAACGGCTGTATGTATCCTTAAATATAGGAGAAGGAAACTTGACCTTCAAATAAATAAAATTTTATTTAAATCGCTATTTTCCTTAATCTTATCTAGAGTGCTAAACTCGCCACTATAAGTAAATTAGTTGCAAGCACAAGAAAAGAAATCGCAGTGTTATACAATCTTTAAAGCTACCTATTAAGAAATATTAGCTACCTATTATTTTATCTCGCTTTCTATTAAGAAAGAGAGATAAAATTGATTCAATATAAATCGCAGCTAGTCGTAGTATTTCACTAATATAAAACTCTATAGTGACCACAAAAACCATACTTTTAAATATTTCGAAATCTGATCCAATCTATAAATAGAGATTCCACATGGTGTGCGATAAACAACAGCTGAACTTATCGCTTTACGACTATGGGCTACTTTAGCCTTCCTTGTGAATGTTACAATCTACAAAAGAATAAATATTAAAATGATTAAAACATATTTAATAATATTCTAACAACGTTCGAGAAACTTCTAAATCTCAAATTGAAAAGTAACGAATTCTTTAAACAAAGATATAAGGACGAAAACCGAACACTCCTTTACAATTTTATATATTCCGCCTAATTTTATCTTGTTCTTTTTTTGACTTCCAAGCCACAGAAACAAGATAAAACAATACCTTAACGAAATAAAACCCGATAATATGCAGTACTTACCTCACGTGACCAACCTACTAGTAGAGGAATCATATAAGGAGAATAGCCGCAAAATTCTTTATCATATGGATCTTTATCTAGATGTTGCAAACATCTGACTGAACATTGAAGATGAACCATTTGTTGCAAATTGTTCCATTCCGGTATATCTTGTACAGTAAGATTCCTCTGCATAAAGAAATGCATGCATTTGACGTTGGAAGAAATTATACAACTTGAGACCAATTTTTAAAGATAAAATGTATTTTCGGAATTTATGCTTCATATATAAGCTTTAAAACACCACTCCTTCCGTATTTAAATTACATCATTTAAATAAAATCATATCAGACCTCTTTACGTAAGCGAAGTACTCTTCCTTCAATAATTGAACAATCTTGATAATCAATCTCGTGCTGTACGGCTAGTATTCCTCCTTTTCGAGCTGTTTGACGTCTGGGATAATTCTGAAAGGAAGTTTTACTAGAAAACTATAAAAACGACACAAATGGATTGTCAGAAAAAAGTGGTAATATGAAAAATTAACGATTAATAATTCTTACCGGTTCGTTGTCGCTTAGTAAAGCTCGACCACGTGGACAAAGATTCATCTCCTTGCTGAAGATAATAGAGTAATTTAGGAAAAGAAAAACACTCTTATTGTAATGATAATAACTAAAAGATAACGATAAAAGTAACGAATTTTATTTCCTAAGAGATACAACGCAAGTCCATTTTGACTCTCTTGAAAGTCTCTAATTTTCAAACCTTGAGTTCATATTTGAGATACTTTGTCCAGGTAGTGGAAGTGTATATTCCAAATTGTGAGCTAATCGTGCTTCTCGTCTGGAACGCAATGGAGCTGCCAGAACTCCCGTTTTCTCTTGTTGTTCGATTTTTTCCAATCTCTGGAATATGAAATAGCTGCAATGGTTAATTAAATCACACGTCACCAGTGGTTTTCAAATTTTTTACTATAAATTATTTATATTTACATCAATTGTTTGACGGATTGCTTCTAATCTCTCTGAACCACGATAAATCCATTCATCTATGTGAATATGACGATTGCATGGGGTTACTACACAATCTGCACCGCATCTATTACGAATCGGAAAGCGAAGCAATGCGAATTGTCTTTCGGTCCGCAAAACATATGCAGAATGAGGTTTACCCTCTCGGAGAATCTGTAAGCAATATTTATCTTCCCCTAAAATAAAATCAGACATTTGTTTCATCTAATTGCTTTTCCTAGAAGCATTCCTCAATAAATAAAATTTTCTTGAAAAAAGTATAAAACAGGAAAGATTCATACTCAGCTATTTTCACTGATTCATAAATGAATAATGAACAAACTATCGCACATACTAACTAATGATCTTACATTTACACGCTGCGTGTTTTCCTTACGCTTCATCGATACAAGTGGCCAATCCGGAAAATTCTTCAAATAATGTTTAACAAACTTTTGTCGAAACTGTGGTACTAGGCACCAATTATTGCGACGATCTATTTCCTAAAAAAATTTCATTTGGCATTAACAGCCAGTCATTAGCACAGCATGTAACCAATAATAACATGATACAGACATAATCATATGACTTCTTCCTATCTCTTTTCTCAAAAAATTGGTCAATCTAGTCTAGTCAAAACATTATGCTCAATTCAATATCAGAGATTTTGAAATACTTGGGCTTGATTCAACACAAATTCAAAATCATATATATATATATATATACGTAAAGATTATTCAATAGAAAATAGCTAAAGAAATAGGCTAGGCTGACTTATATCCTATTTCTAGCCAAGATGAAATAAAAATTTCACAAAAGCAATTAACTTTTCAATTTTTAACAAAAACTCACTTCTTTGCAATTTTGAAGTCTACACTTTTGCTCTGCAAGAATGTAAACTGTTCGTTCGTGAACGAAACTGTCAATGCCATTATCAAAAAATACCTACAAGAAATAATAAAAATGGAAAAATGGCTAGGTAAGATAAAAAACCCAGTTTTTATACAATTATTGGATTTATCCTTACAATTTCTTCATACAAAACATTACTAGCATTTCATTTTGTGAAAATCCATGTGGTCCAACACCTACTATCCCTGAATAAAACGCTTTTCGGTACCGTCCAAACTGAAGCCTGAAAATGACAGTACTTTAAGGAATACAAATCTAGTTCGAAATAATTAATTTAGTTTTAAATTGAAAAAAACAGGAATATTACTTTGGCTCATATAAAGCACAAACGCGCACTCCTTCCCACATATGTAAACGACCCTCAACTTTAAGTGCAATGCGAGATATATCAATTATTTCCTCATTACCATCACCAAACAACACGTTGTATTCACGCGGAGATACCTGAAATGACTATTATCTGCAACTGAATTCCTAAACATTGAAATAAAAATTGAAAAAATGATAAAAAGACAGTAATCTATTATATCTATTCTGGTGTAATCTATTATAACTAAAGAAATTATTTGTACAAGTCCCATTAACTAACGATAAAAACTTACAGTAGCCATTACGTAATCATTAGAAAATAATAAGTTAACTAAGTGCATCAATATTCTCTTCCCTTTATTTTATCACAACGTAAAGCTTTACCTTTTCAACAATTTGACAACGAACGAAATTATATGCTTTTTGCTGACGAGCTAAACAGAAAGACCCATTCGGAATATCACTAATATTGACGGGGTCATTGATAATGACGTAATTCTTCTGTATATTTTCACTGTGAGTCACATCGACAACACTGATTTCCTCATTAGCCATAGCCTGAAACCAACCCTAGGATTTAATGCGGCAAACTTTATTTCATCACATAAAAATTTAATCACAATCGTAAATCAATGCCGCGAAGCTAGAGGTAATTAACTGATTTGTTTCAATTTCAGGTTTTTTTTTTAAATACTGATTCATGGCGAATATTCAAAAAACATTTCTATATCTTTCATTAAACGATATTCACGGTTTACATGAAATTAATAGCTTCATGAGTTCCCCCTAAATGCATTTTGATAAGACAATGAAGAGCAAAAATCGATAAATAAATTTAAAATTTATGGGACAGAATCAAAGACATTAGGGAAAAACAAAACTGATCAATCTCACCGAAAAAGTTTGAACATTTTTTTGTGAATCCAACATCGATTTCTCTGTTAGATTTTCACGCTGCTCCTTCGTCAACATTTCGGCTTGATTTATCCAATCTCGAGTTAAAACACTTGCTTGCGGTACACTCTCATTTGATGAGGAGAAATTCCGCTGTAAGACTTTTATCTATTTGTAAAAATTGAAACAAATCTATGTAATCAATGAAATTGTTTTCGGAACATGAAATTAAAAATATTTGTACAGCCATATGTGAAGCTGCAACAATTTTTTAATTTCTTTTATAAGTGAACCTTAATTTAAATACTGATATCACCAAAACCAACTTTTCGTTGAACAAGCTTATTTGTGAAAAAATATGAGAGCGGACATGCTTCAATGAAATTTTCATCATGTCAATCTTCAAACCATTTTATTAAATCCGTCGAGTGTTGATACTATAAACTGTTATTCCAACAGATAAATCATGACAAATGCGAAAAATGCCCAGATTAGCTTATTTATTTCGCTTCACATGTCTAACGCACCATAATCAAAGTGAAGCATTCATCCCTATAACCACTCTTATCATGATTATCGTTACTATCATCATAAAATTTCAAAAAAAATTCTACCAATTCATTGAGAAGATTACTAGCATATTGTGTCAGTTTGTTTGATATTATCACTAAATCGCTGCCACAGCCATCGTTTACGTGCCTGCTGAAATCGTTTCCAAAGTATTATGAAAACGACAAAAAAAATAATGAAAATTTTCTGGCACTCAAAAAAATCGGTGAAAACTTAATTCGCCAATCACCAACAGTTTCATAGAAGGAGAAAGACTAAGGGAAAAAATCACGGTTGAGTCTTTTCAAATCGCTGCTTCTATGGCTGTCGTATTAGATACCAATCATTTGCCGCGTTCAATAACCAGACAATTTTGGAGCATTTTTAGAGATAAAAGAAAAGGAAAAAAGGCAAAATTTATCCGACCAGAGAGGAGATGACCGATCATTTCTGAAATCTTCTAATACTTCGCGTGCAATGGTTACAAAATCATCCATGGATTGCATGGCCTCTTCATCTGATGGTATAGAAGATGTTTCAATCTAAAGAATTTATGAAATGGAGAGAAAATCCTGCCTTTGATTTAAGATCGCATTAAGCTTTGGAATTACATTTTTCGTTTGAAACTTTAAAACTACATTAATAAAATTCACTGAAATCATAGCTTACTTCTGACATTACTAACTGCATTCACAAAAGCTACTAGACGCAGCTCCTGATTTTGAGATATGCTCACTTCAAATGTCTTTCATTTGAAACTACCACTTTGGTAATACCAATATTCGAAAGACATGATACTTTGTGAACTACTTCTAGCAGTAATAAAAACTAACATTTTTCCAATTCTGATTGAAATCCTTAGCAACGGACCAACCATACATTTGTGCCAATAACATTGTCAACATCACAATTAGTTCGATGGGTTCAGAAAGAGTTTTCTGAAAGACTTGAAATTTTTGACACTAAAGAATAATTTCTTCAGCATGAGTAATTAGTAACTACAAATAATCGCTAGCAGTAACAAATAAAAATAATAAAGAAGAAAAAAGCGATATATTATTGTTGAAATATATCAATTTATCATCATTATTCATTGAAACTTACAATCGCTATTTCCGAAGGAGCTAAGACGACATTACTGTTTATCAAATTGCCAAGAATAAACATATGAGCGCGATCCACGCCAAGGTAGCCAGCAACCCGAGATATACTGTAATTATCGATTGTTTTGTCGCGTTCTGCAATTGACTTCCTTTAAAGTGACATACAGTACGTAACTGAAAAATGACTGAAATACGACATAAGAAGTATAAGTAAATGCAAAGCTATATCTCTGCCTGGAGAAAAGGCTAAACTGAATAATTGAGCATGAGAAAAATAGACATATCGATAATGTGTATCAAGCCTTTAATTTACAATTTTAAAAGTCTGATTTCAATGAAATATCGAATGTCACGAGAAATTCCAACAAGTAGGATAATATGCAACGGCTAAATGATTCTTCAAAAATTAAAGAAAAAATTTTCTACCTTTCCAAATATGGTCCATTAAAAGGACAATGAAATTGAATACTGATATCTCCATTTTAGCCGCACCTTCTCTTATTCCCATTTTATCAATATGAAATGCAGTGATAGCTTTGGAAATCTTTTCCTCATCATAATCAAGAGTAATCTGGAATTAAATAAAAAATTTCAATTTTTCCATAAGAAAAAAGTAAATTAATAACGAAGACCAAAAATCAAGGGATAGACTAATTGAAAAGCCTTCACAAAAATATTCGGTTTCGAAAACTAACCTTTTCTTGAATATGATCAAAGAATTCAGTGTCCAGTGTTGCAAACCCGTAAACAGTCCTGCGTGTTTTATATTCGGGTCCATTGTAGCGAAATGTTTTATATAAATTACATATCCTCTCCTCGCATCTAAAAATACGATAAAACATTTTGAAGCATGCAATCTACATTTTGTTAATGCTTGTCAAATTTTCCCAAAAGTTACCCTCTCATACTAAATTTAAATTATGGTATTTCTGAAAAGAATAAAAATAAACGACATAATTCCATTAACTTAGTGTGACATTAAAATATCTTGGATACATGCAGCAAAAAAAAACCTACAATGCTTTTCTTTCATTATTTAAAAGACTCAGATCTCGACTATCAAACACAGCAATTTCATCTGAATCATCTGATGATGTTTCGTCCACCAAAAAAGCACTTACATCAATATCCACTTCAACACTTCTTTTCTGAAGAACACTGATTTCATAAATAAAAGCACATTATTTCTCTTATTTGAATAAATGAACAAAATCTTCACTAAAAACGCAATCTCTTGCTTTTCTTGTAGAGTGAAATTTCAGTTACTATGTTAAAACAAATAAAGTTTATGTAAAATGCCGCATGTCATGTGAATACTTATCATCGTTACGACCATAATATTGTAATGATAATATTAACAAACTGCATGATCCGTAGGTGCAGAGATATGGGCAGTATCATCAGATGGTTCCTCATCTATATCCATTTAATTCGTCAAACAAGTTTGTCCTAAAAATACCAGGAGTAAGACCAAATGCTAGAGTTCGGATTCTTCTTTTTCAAGATCTTCTGAACGGAACCCAATCTGAAGCTAAAACTTCGTGAAAATGTATTCTAGCACCAAAACTGAAACACTGCTGTTCCAGAACCCACTCTTTAGAAATTGCGAAAAACAACTCCGCTAATTCCCACACCGCACAATGTTTTTAATGCCACTTTTTCATCTCTCTCGTGATTCTGAATGATCTTTTTCGTCTACTCTAATTCGAAATAAGATCTAACGAAATAACTTTTCCCAATAGCTAAGTATCTTGGAATGAGAAAGCAAAGCTTTATTTTCATATCATATATGTATCTATTATCATCTTTTACATTTAATGAACTGAAATCGCTTTTAAAATTCCAAAATTCATCACAATTATTTTCGATAATTAGCACTGAAAAAAATTGAAATATTTTGGATTTCACTTTCTAATTACTGAAAAATTAACGTGAAGAATTTTGCATTTTGCTCATTCGTTAATCACAAATGTACCAAATCATAAAATTTTAGAATACAAAGATTGAGATATAAAAGAGGTAAATTTACACGAAAATTAGCACAAAATTGTTACAAAAAAATTGCAAAAATAACAAATGTATACTCTGCATTCTGCAACAATGAAATTATAATACCCGTATTATATCGCTATTAATTGATACCGGATAGACTCTGAGAGACTTTGAGAAAGAAATATAAAATTTAGGGTAGTAATAGATACTCAAAATAGGATGCAAAATGATAAAATCTTAACAATCTCAAACTTTTTTTTCAAATTTATCATTCGTACTTTTTTTTCGGATTTTTAACATAAGTGTCCTGAAGAAACCGCGATTTCCGGTACTTTCTTCGACAGCCTCAAATGGCACAATGCCATCTCGGAATTTCTCTAAGCTTGGTTTCCTTTTATCCTGAAAAGAAGTTTACTCCTGATTTCATAATACATAAAAGATAAATACCAACAGTTCGAAATCTCGAAATGAAAATTACATGTTCCAGTCGACAAACTACGGGTGTACCAAAAGAAATTCTATGATCATTGCTATTAACTGATTGTGACCCAGCTTCTGCATAAGACATCGAAGTCTCAAGACCAACAATTGATGTGTTATGTTCCTGCAAATTAAATTTATACCGATTATTATGATTTCTTCATTTAACTGTAAATTCTAAAGTTTGCAAACAGAGGTCAAACTATAACGATACATTTTTGACAGACATTAATGTTTAAATCTTCGCATTAAATTCTAAATTCAAAAATTTAAATTCAAAAATTTACCACATTTTTTTCCAATACAGTATCTTCTAATGATCGTGTAGACTTTGCCACACTTTCTTTTGGTTCATCACCAACCAAAATAAGGCTGTCATCCGAGTCTTAAAATTCCAGGTATCAATTTATTCGAAATGAAAATAAATTCAAATATTTGAATAAGTTAGAATTAAAAGGAAAAAAATTGAAAATCATGCCTTTTTTTGATCGTTTACGATCACTTAGGTGCTCATCCGTGTACTTTCCCCGTTTTCTGTTTCTACCATCAAGTAATCGCTGCTGCAACAAGAATAATTTAAAGTTAAAAACAAAATACTTCAAACTATAAGACATAACCAAGTATGAGTGCTCCATATGTTTAAAAAAAAGCAAGAAAGCATAATGTTTACCGGATGCCTTTCCTTGACATATTCTCGAAGATACCGAATGTACTCATCAAATCTAGGTACTCGGAAACGTTCACGCTATAAAGAAAACCTCGTTTTCAATACGCTGACCTTTATAATTAATAAATTCATAAATCTCTCTTCTTAATATAACTTATCTACACATAAAAGCAAAAAGGTAATCCAAGACTAATGTTGCATGATAAGCGAATCTCGATTAAATGAAGTAAATCAATGAAATCGTACATCTCTAAGATATCGATTACAATAGTTAAAACCGGGATAGGCAATCACTTTATCAGCAGAAACCGTAAGTCGTTTCCATTTATCTTTTTCTGAAACATAGAAAAATTGTAAAAACAAACAAGAATCAGGGTGCTTGAAAACTCTTGTATTTTTTTACCATTAGCAAGGCCAAATAAAATAACCACCTCGCATAATGTGTGGACTTTCCAATGTTTTATCATCGGTGTGAAATTCTAATAATGACTCCTCACCAGAACTTTGATCAAGAGCCTAAAAATATACAGCTCTGTTTTTAAGAACAAAACGATAAACTGTAGTTCTTATCTGCATATTTCAATAATGCATAACATAACTATACACATGTTAATATTCTTGAATCTCTCAAAAGTTTCAGAACATATTGATTTTAGCCTCTATATGAAAACAAAGAACAGTCAAAAATTGTAAAAAATATACAAAATTGATTACCTCCGACAGATATCCTGGTGGATAGCCATCAATGAAGCCTCTTCGACGCATTCGATAAATCCATTCTGGAATATCATTTGGGCCTATCCCTAATGCTTCACGCAAAGTATTACTGATTTCTCCAGGCCTAAATATTATCGCTTCTTCAGTTGGCTGAAAAATTTTGACAGAAAAGCAAAATTTTACAGAGAAAAAATTTTTTAATTTACCTCATATTACATGTGCCTGCTGTCTCAGTATTACTTGCTGTGGTATAACGTTCTTGAGTTGAACGTTTGTTATTAAAATGAGCAGCACGGTTGGCAGCGATCCTCCGCTGATTTAAGGGAATGTCACACTGTTGCAAGGTATGCTCGCCAGCACAATTGAAACAACTTATTTTGAACGTGCTGAAGTTTTGAAAAATAATTTCTGTATCATAACATTACTAAAAAAATCAATACTGGCAGGTATTACAAAGATAAGATGACTAATGGAGAAAGAGAGTAGTAGATAGATCTGCTTTCAATCTGATAATATAGTTTAAGCAAAAATTGTGAATCTCTTTATGAACAAATAAGTTTGAATTTTCCATTTTTCTACCATAAAGATCAATCAGTGAATCTCATATCACATTCTATATGTTAGAAATAACCTTTCTTTTTTTTCTTCTGATGGCGACGGAAGTGCAGCATCATTCGTAAGAATTTTGGTTACATCAAAAACATTATCTTTTCCTCTTATTCTCGCAGTTTTCAGTAAAACTTTACGTTCTTCTTTCTCTAAACCATGCCCTGGTGTTGCGGTAACAGTAAGATTTTTTTTATTCACTTCTTCTACCTCAACAATTCTCGACCCTTCAGTATCCAGAACGAATAAATCATCATCGCTACTTCCGGCTTTAACTGACATCTGTATCTGCAAATTCCAAAACTTAAGTCTTCAAGGTACTAAAATAAAATAGACATTTGTCCCAGGAATCGGTGACTTACATGTATTAAAGAAATGAGTAACTCAGCTTAAAATTGTAATAGATTTCTTACTATTTCGATGTCTCCATCGTTGTCTTCTTCTACTAAATCCACCAATTCAATTGCGTCCTTCCGAAATTTTGTATTTTCATACCTGCAATACAGGACGGTTCATTAAACAAGTTCCAACTCGAATATATTTAGATGATATTTAGTTATATTGCAAAATATAATGACCAGACATATGTAGATCGAAGTGACTATTAAACTTAAATACCACATGATTTTTCAGACTTAAAAGGATCAAAACAATAAATATGCTGATTTCTAACAATGTATCAATGGTTCGTTCGCATCGCATTCACTGTTGCGGATGCAGTTTCTCTGCACAAGTAATAACGTAGTAAATCATAATAAGTAATTAAATCTATATTATTCGGCTAAAGTGCAAACAACACTGAGCTCATAATATCATGATATCACATTAATAAAATACAGAAAAAAGGAATGAAACAAAGGATGAAAGCTGAAAATCATGAAATAATTAAACAAATAAGATTACTAAGATATATAGAAGAAAAGAAAAATTTCACAGATTACCTATGCGTCCTCCTAATGGGCGCTTTCTTAACGTTTACATGAGCAACTTCCGACACCGGTGATGGTGTACGTGAGCATTCGCCCGGTTCACGCTCGTCATAAATGTCCATCTTTCGAAACTGCTAAAAGCAAACATGAAGGTTTTCAAAAAACTTTTCAGCATTAACGTCTTCAATACAACCAAACAAACAATAAGAAACATATAACATGGCATTGTATCCGTACAGGTCAATCTGTTCCAACAAACCGAAAAATCGCCACTCCAAGCCCACGCAATTTATACCAAATTTGCAAAACTACTGGTCGTAAGCATTCTGTTCGAGACCAACAATATAAATTTGGTGATTTAATTTTAGAATTTTTATTTTTATCTTTCAAACTTAAATTTATAAAGCAAATTTATGCTTTGTTTCTCTCATTTTGTGCCAATTGTGATATCTGAATTCGAAGAATTTTCCTGTTTTGTTTTGTTCGATAACTTTCAGAATTTTTATTATTAACGGCTTTTAATTCATGCAATTAGAGAAGTTTAGTTTATAATATGAGTGGTCAACAACGGTTCTCTGTTAGCCTAATATTAATTTAATTTTCAAAATCAGAACAGATTCTTCAAATCCGATTTCATTAATGTGCTCTGCTTTACGAGCAAGTTTAACAGCTTTAAAATTATGCTGCGTTATTCCTTCCGAAATAAACGAAATAAATGAACGAAATTTAGTAAATAATGAAATATTTGACAATTCTAATGAGAAGTCTTTTGTAGGCAGTTCATCCTTGACATTTCCAATTCTAAATAGTTTCAGCAATTCATATAATCTTCACTTGATAACATCATTGTAACAAAA